ACTCGCTGCCCAATCCTGATCCTACGGATATTGCGGCTTTGGACGAGAACCCGGTGGCTATGCGGGATGTGCAAATTGATCAGGCTGCTGAGGCGCAGCGTCCGGAGATGAAGAGACAGGCTCAGGAATGGGCGAACATTAAGCAAGATCCCAACTCTGATCTGTTTGTGTTCGTTGGTCGGTGGTCTAAGCAGAAGGGTGTCGATCTAATTGCGGATATCATGCCATCGCTGTGAGTCCGTTTTTTAAAATTTGTGGGACTCGGTTCTGATGAGACCTCTCGCAGCCTGGAAAAGCGCCCTTCTATACAGTTGATTTGCGTCGGACCTGTCATTGATCTTTATGGTCGGTTCGCTGCGGAGAAACTTGCTCGGTTGATGGAGATGTACCCTGATCGTGTTTACTCGAAACCGGAGTTTACTGCGTTGCCACCTTATCTGTTTAGTGGTGCTGATTTTGCTCTGATTCCTTCCCGTGATGAACCATTTGGATTGGTCGCTGTCGAATTCGGGAGGAAAGGTGCCCTTGGTGTTGGTAGTCGACTTGGTGGTCTTGGGTTGATGCCTGGATGGGTGAGTGCTCAAGGTCGTCTTTTTCGGGCACGATCTGACGAGATTCCTGGTAGTGGTTCCCTGTCGAATCTACCTCGACAGCCCATATGTTATCTCAGCTTTCGAAGACGATCAAGTTGGCGTTGAAATCCACAGAGGAAGAAAGAGCCATACTTCGTGCTCGGTCAGCTGTTCAGCGTTTCCCAGTCGTCGAATGGCGTCAGCGGATGGAAGACATGCACCGAAGGAGTATATTCGCGAGCCGAAGGATAGCTGCTTCAAACGCTTGGCGGGAGGCGGACTGCGGAACTGAGCCCTCTCAGCATGCGATTCCTGAAACAGAAGATTGGAACCCTGTAAATCAAGGTCTGCCTGTACAACCTGACTGGGATGCCCAGAGTACCATGTCATCTCCGAGATTGTTGCCTACTTCTCCTGGACAGTGGAGCCCACTTTCAACGCCCAATGATGAGAGCTTCCTGACGGCACCACCTCGTTTCAACTTCAACCGCGACTCTTCATATACATCGGATACGTCTGACGAGGAACACTCACGGCATAGTGTCGCGACTAGTAGTCGACCCGGGTACAGTGACTTTTTGGAGAAAGCAAACAAGACGATTGCACAAGATCATCGGAATGCGCCAGATCCTTTCTTGAGTCCGACACCCCCTGCAAGACCGTTCGGGTCACATTCTCGGGTGGCTTCGATGGAGTCCATTGGCAGTATCGTGGAAGAAAAGACTAACTCGCCTTTGAACAAGGCTATTGCGACGGTGTGTATTTCGAGAATTTGGGTGACCACCGTTATCTTATTGCCTTTTTTTGTTTAGTTCACGGATTCCGATGGCGGGGTTGCCTCAGAGTTTGTACAAAAGCTGCAAGCGTTGAACTCGAATAACTCCAAGGGCGAACTCTCTATTGAGAAGTACCTCGTCAAGTCTGAGGAAGCCTTCTTCGACCGTGTGAGACGAGACAAGCTGTCCAGTGCAGCCAGTTACATTTCTTCGCACCGGGAGTCTATCTGGAGCATGCCTGGTACTCTCACGATCAACGAGCACTCTACACTCAATGAGCATTCACGTCCAACATGTAACTATACCCTTCTTGTGGACGTGAATCATTACTGATGCTACGCGTACAGCCCCAAGAACGCCTAGCGGTCTCCCATTCAATCCAGAGCCGGAATTCGATGGTAACATGGTTGTCATGAACAGAATCCAAATTGCCATGTCTCGACAAATTGGAGGCTGGCCGTTGTATACTCTCATCATTGCTCTCGGCCAGGTAAGACCTTTTGATTTTTGATCCTTATGCATCAACTCACTTTGGTTCTCAAGATGCTTGCTGCAAACAGCTACCAGATGACTTTACTCACTGGTCAAAACTACCAGAACAACCTCCAGCTATATGTTCTCAGTGCTGTATTCTTAGCTGCATCCTTCGTTTGGTATACGATGTTCCGCTTGAAGCCTTCTGTCTATGTGCTTTCTGCCCCCTGGATCTTCTATGGCATAGCATTCTTTTTGATTGGCCTTCCGTCATTGTCGCCGAGCCTTGAAAATACTCATAGCATCTTATCGGACCTTGCCACTTGGTCGTATGCTGTTGCTTCTGCTGCTGCTTTCATTTTCTTCGGTTTGAACTTTGGAGAGGAAGCGGTATGTTATTTCTTTGGGTCATTTGCATGCAGCTGATTTTTTGTTCTTTAGGGTGCCGCCACTGAAGTCTGGATACTGCGCGCTTGCATCGTGCAAGGTTCTCAACAGATCTGGATCGCTGCTCTGTGGTTCTGGGGTAGCACACTGAATACCGCGACGCCTGGGAACATTACGCCTTGGTGGATTGTCCTTATCTTGTGGCCGCTCTCAATAATGTCGTTTGGGTGTGGATACTTGATGTTGTACGGACTGCCAGGTAAGTCCTATCTGAGTTCTCAAGCAGCATGATACCAACTACGAAACAGAGTACTACCGACAAACTCCTCCGAAAGTTCCAAACTTCTTCAGGACTCTCTTCCGAAGGAAACTAGTTCTTTGGTTAGTCTTTTCTTACTTACGGTAAAGTTGATGATGCTTATACTCCATACAAGGTTCCTCGCATCTGAAGTGTTGCGTGATTATTGGCTCAGCGGGGTATGTTGGGTCCGGTGCTTTGATATCCTTATGTTCTAACATTATTGCAGCCCTACGGTCGTAACTGGAGTTTCCTGTGGAGTGTTCCGATCCCGAAGTGGGCGATCATGCTTCTGATCATCCTCTTTTTCATCGGTGTTTGGGCTTTCATGCTGTATATCCTCACGTCCTTGAGTAGAACGCACACTTGGTTGTTGCCCGTGTTCGCTGTCGGCCTCGGTGCTCCAAGATGGTGTCAGGTATGATTTTGTCAGTGTTGTATCAATCTTCAGTCGTCTAATATGTGTCGCAGACATTGTGGGGCACATCGTCTCTTGCACTCTATATCCCATGGGCTGGCTCAGGGGGACCGTACCTTGGTCTTGCTCTGTGGCTTTGGCTCGGCGTTTTGGACGCTGTACAGGGTGTCGGTTTAGGAATGATTCTCTTGCAGACGTTGTCAAGATTACACGTCTGTGCCACGCTCGCTTTCGCTCAGGTCATTGGGTCTATCTGTGTCATGGCCGCCCGCGCAACTGCACCAAACCGTATTGGTCCAGGGAGCGTATTCCCTGATGTCGGAACATGGGACTTCTCGCAAGGTCTCCAAGGCAGTCCGATGGCCTCCGCTCCATTCTGGATAGCGCTGATCTGCCAGATCGTCATTGTACTAGGTTACTTCTGGTTCTACCGCAAAGAACAACTTGGTGAGTTGTTGGCCGTGGAGATGCTCGATTTGGCTAATTACTTTTTACTTCAGCTCGACCATAATCATGCTATTGCTATTCGCCGTTATCAATCACGCACATGCTAGAACCATTACTCCATTTCAGGGACTTGCTTGTTTTCATGAACACTTTCATTCACTCGGGATTTTTTTTTCGCTGTTGGATCATTGGTGCCATCTGAACACTGTACTCGGACATCACAGGTTATTGACGCTTGGTCAACTAAAAAATATGTTACATACTCTAACTCCAGTGCCTCATACAAGTGCACATATGTACTTCGAATATTTTCGTAGATCTGTGTTTTGGTGTTGTTAGAATGACTGGCTGTTTACGCTACATATACCTCACTTGAATTTCAGTTCACGTGGACCATGACTTACAACTTACACAGGCGCAGGCCAAGTCTGGTCAAAGGAATATCAATTGAAGCATGTTATGGGCAGCTCATTTGTGCCCCATGCGATGAAGTACTGTGGAGGTATCTCTAATAACGAAAGGTACACGGTATGGTAACGATACACGGTGAAATATGCAGAAAGATTATTTGGAGCCAGCAGAGAATTCTGAAACAATGGTCAATGTCTTGGCCTATGACTTAAATGAGACGGTACTCACTGGTGACAGACTTGGTTCCCTCAGAAATGGCGTGCTTTGCCAGCTCTCCAGGCAGGATTAGGCGAACAGATGTTTGAATTTCGCGCGATGAGATCGTCGACTTCTTGGAGTAAGCCGCAAGCTCTGAGGTAGACTATAAGTATCTGGTATACGACAAGTGATGGAATCTTACTGGATGCCTCGGTAGCAATACGCTCAAAGATATCATTGACAAACGAGTTCAGGATAGCCATTGCTTTGTTTGAGATACCGGTATCGGGATGGACCTGCTTCAGGACTTCACGACGAAGTCAGTCACCCATAATTGTTACCATAATCTATGGACGCACCCTTGTAGATGTACGAGCTGTACGTCTCCTTGCGGACCTTTCGGCGCTTCTTCTTCTCACCCTCAGCGGGAGCCTGTGGCTTAGCAGCGGTTTTCTTTGCAGCCTTTGCTCCAGAGTCAGCTTTAGCTGGTGCCTTGGAGGCGGTGGATGCAGGGGCTTTAGCAGCGGTGGATGCGGGCTGAAATGGGTCCTTGAATTAACACATGAGAACCATGAGTCACGAATCCACGTACTTTAGGTGCCATTGCTTTAATTTACAAAGTGTACAGGTATGTGACTGTCGACGCGAGTCAGTTTGCATTTACAATGCGATATCGCAAGCGCATACACACCAGATATGTTGCCTATGCAAGTGGCACTGGTGGGTGGTGGTTAAGGGAAGAGTGTTGAGGGGACGCGACGTCTGTGTACTGAGCTTATGAAGGGTTAGATTCAAAGTCCGATCCCGTGAGGGACACCACGTGATTCAACGACCGCGCTTGTCACGCGTCGAAGCACGCACCATCACACTCTACACCTGTCACGCCCCTCCATCCGCCGCTGAGCTGCATTTTGTAGGCAAATGGTAAGTGAGATCTAGCAAACTTGAACAATCACAACGGTTCACCATCGCACTTACAACCAATGTAGGCTGCTGAGGACGAATTTAATATTATAGAGGACCTATACTATGCTGATGGCAGTGTAGTCCTTTTAGCCGCCCATGCTGGTAAAACCCATGCGTTCCGAGTTCACAAATCTGTGCTTGGATCACACTCTACAGTATTTGCGGATATGTTTGCGCTACCCTCTGCCGCAGAAAAAGAAAAGCATGACAGTATAGATTCGGTACGGATGCCGGACGATGCAAAAGATCTTGAAGACCTTCTTCGAGCACTTTACTATCCGCGGTAAGCACTGTGCTTGTATGGGCCATCCTGGCTCTCAAGCAAAATGCTTTTAGCACCATACTATCCATGTTGGAGAATCGAAACCCTCTTGCTGCAATCAAGTACAAAGGGATTCTTCTGCTATCGCAGAAATATTTCGTGCGCGTCCTGCAGAAGCTGCTCAGGGCTCGCTTCCGTGCAGACTGGCCATCCACTCTCCCTGAATGGGACAAACTTATGGATCACTACGCTGGTTTTTCTGCATCTGTAATACCGCAACATGACGCGGCCAGTCAGTTCATCGACAATCGTATGCTGGAACCTGTTTCTGCCATACGCTTGGCCAGGGAGGCCAATATCCCAGAAATTTTGCCAGCCGCGTTTTATATGCTATCTACAATTAGTCCTTACATGGACTTTGATACCCTCCGCAGCTCGAACCCCCCTCCGCTCACTGATTCTCAAGGGCACATCCTTATGTGGCAGCCTGGAGAACGTAGCGCACGGTGGGGGCTCTTAACGCCTGATGATTGGCTTTGCCTGGCACGAGGCAGGCATTCTATGATGGACTTCGCTCGGATATTCGAGCAACAGGAAGCCCAATGCATATGCGACTCGCAGACTTGTATTCAACTCAACCACAAGAAAAAATTGTTGAAGGAACACCCTCAAGATCTTCTACGTGTCCTGAAGGAAATTCAAATTGGCTCCCAGCAGACGCCCCCACACTTTCCCTGCTACAATGCCCTGCAGACGCTGGCGTCCCGCAGTGTGGCAACACGGTCTATTTTGTGGGATAATTTGTGTTACTACTTCGGTTTACCGGAGGTAGACGATGATCAGAATGACGGTGACTCTGATGATATTGCACTTGTAGAGAGTGAGTTTATGGACGGATGAGGGGTAGATTGGCACACTGGGCAACTGGTCATTCCACTTTTCTGTCCGCCGTGCACTACATGAGTCAAACGATACGCTCGCAGACTATTGACTGGATTCAGGAACACGGCTAGATTGCCATCAACTTGACCCGAGAGTAATGACAACATTGCGAACATCTCTGTATTCATGGATTAAGTAGTCAGTATGGCATAGGTATCACAACTACAGTCGATAATCAATTCCAATGTACAAGAAGGGTATCATTGAAACTATAATCGTACACTGTATCCTCCTAGGTGTTCCCTTGGATGTCTCGTACTCAGAATTCTGGCGCATAAAAAGGATACGGGGATAAAAAGGTCCCAAGTCTATTGAGGACGTCTACCTGGAACTCTTCGAAGGGAACCTGCTCGCCATCCACCACGAGGTTGCCCTTGGAGGCGAGTGGCCTTGCACGGTAAGCAGACGCTTTGAAGTACCGGTTCTATTATACCTGGTGAGTCGTACGCACGAACGAAGACACAAGGAATTTACCGTATTTATCCAGTACGTTTTGCCTTCTTCGGCACCGTCCATGGCCCGTAAGAGAGCACTCCGACTGGTCTTCGAACAGGGTATCAGATGCATCAGAAGAACAAATCATAACGTACTTACTATTTCTTGTATAGAAATGTCGATAAGCCCGTCATCAGCTAAAGATACAGGAAACTGCATCAAAGCCCTATTCGGGCCCCATGATGAGCTAATCGATCTCTTAATGCAGTATGGTGCTACTTACCGACTAACGAACGGCCCTTGGCCAGCGTACATCCACAGGATAGGTCTTTTAAACCGGGTCCACTCATCATGTGAAGAGCTTGCACTATCAGGTTTCTTGTCGTCACTGAGGAGCGAACTAGGAGGGCTAGATGGGCTAGGTGATTTGCCCGCTCGTCGTGCATGAAGAGCATCCAACATGCGGGATTTATCTTGATCGACGACCTTCATTGATAACTCGATCGGACATGATTTGCGGGCAATGACTGGGTTAAAGGAATCAGAAAGGTAACAGGAGAGTGAAGTAATGACTGACTAGCACGGATATAGCCTACGATGAATCGGATATCCCCCATCCATCGTAAATGTTCAGTTTCAATATCGATATCTGCCGTTATTCCGATAGTTTGTGACATGAATGATATCCGGCAACGATCTCCTTGGGTGAAAGAAAATAGATCGGTTTTCAATGGTTGTCCTGATTCCAATATTCAGCGACCCTAGTGTTTAGAACGACTGACAGAGCACACCTTTAAGGACATTCAGAGTTGCTGCACAAACGTCCAGCCCGTCCTGCAGACCCAATAGATTAAGAGACATCCCGTTACCGGAGCCAGTTGGTATAGGTGCTATTGGTATACAAAATGCCTGATCACGGTGTTCATGCTGATTTATCCCGTTGAGGACCTCATGGATCAAACCGTCACCGGATACAGTGACCAAAGCATCATATCCCAGCTTCATTTCGCGAGCAATTTCAATAGCGTGACCGCTATGGGTGGTGTCTATGTGGGAATACATTAGTGAGCATGAAGGGAGAATGCCATGAAATTGTGACGTGCAAGTTACATCCAATATACATCCAGCAGCAAGGAGTATGGGTTCCACTTTGCTGACGTATAATGCTCTTCCCTTCCCCTGAGAAAGACGGTCATAGGAGCATACAATAGAGTTTGGATAAAGCTAACCGGTCCGCCATGAGGATTAACAAGCACCTTGAGATTCTTGGCTGGATTCGCGCCTAATAAACCAGATAAGTAGACACGTCATGCGCCAAGGGGCCTGACAAACCCTGATATGCAACCAGAAGTAGCGCCTCACACCACTTCTTGGCACGCGTGCTATCTTCGTTCTGAACTGCGCCGCTTGTCGTTGCAAGGTTCAAGCGGCTCTGCTTGTCCTTGCGAACCAGGTATTGTACTTCGACGACGCCAGATGCAACTTTGGCGGAAATGACATTGCGAAGAGGCACCTCTGTGTACTTAACTCTTCTGTATGTGCCTGCGCAGCAAGAGGATGTGTGATCGTCGAGGTTGGTAGGCTCGATGAAAAATGACGTATCATCAAAGCGAAGCGAAGTGGAGACTCCACAGCTGTGGATTAGAACTTGGCTCATAGAGGTTGACGTAGGTACGACCCGTGCAAGATAAGCGAGAATTTTATGGGTGGGAAGGGCATGTGTATTGTGCTGCGGAAACTGAACTGTCTTATAATATGGTCCTTGGCAGTTTTAGCACTAGGTCAGGTTTAATTTATATATAGGTTGACGGAACTCAACACCAACTGCGGCAACTCGATTAATCAGTACTTGCCAACTGCAAATCTAACTCCACTTAGTCTAGATCTACCTGCATGCTCATTGCACCAAAGCTATCCTCCACACGCCGCATCTCTCTGAGACAAGATCCCGGGGCCCGACTCAGACGGGCTCCGAGTTGTCAATTGACCGCTCCCTCTGCCGGCTATTCCCGTGTTTCAAAGGACTTTTCGGTTACAATCTTATTTACTAGGAGAGCTGAGCCCCTATGTATACCTCGGTGGGCCACTACGTCCATTATGGAGTGTTCTAGAGCTTCGCGTTAATCTCACATCTCTGTCTGGTACCCAGTTGTGACTAGCAATAACAGGCATGCTCGATATGATCAGTAGGAAGCAAATGAACTCCTTTTTTGTACAAAGTCCGTTCCGTCGCAGTACTTATCTTGATGGTTGCATAATCAATAGGTGGTCTGGGAGTTCAGAAGGTTGCACTGCTGGCGCCAGCTGCTCACCCAATCGCACTAGTAACTACGTGATGCCAAGCAGCAAGCTGAAATCATATACTTCCGGCTCTCGCGTCCGTGTTTCTTGTTGCTCGAATGCGATGCCTTCAAGACCACTGATTCGAGCATATTGGCCCAGTCGCCTCAGTCTGCCTGTCGGGTCCGTCTGCCGATATTCGACGTTTTATCGTTGCTCTCGTTGTTCGCGACGTTAAACATCTGTTTGTTTGTAATAGTAAATTTGTCAGTGGAGTGCTTGTAGAACAGTGTGCCTTAATGGAGATCTCAGTGGTTCTCATGGAGTAGCATGGGTAGTGACTTACAGGTGTGCTCTTTCATGTCTCATCGTCCCTCGCTGGCAGCTTAAGGAAAATTATATGTGCTTAATGGGTGTCCAGTACCTTGACTGTCTTCTATAGCCGCACTACCTCCGACAGTCACACGGCTACTAGGTCTCTCGCAGGAATTCAGCCCGTGACGTGTAGGAGACACAAAGAAGTATATGCAGAATCCTTCGATTATTGAACTCGAGCGCTTCATCACAGCTGTGGATTATGTTCTTGAAGTACTGGAGAAGCAAGCTTCACAGTAGGGAGATGGATCCTCATCAGTGTGCTGTGATGAAGGAGCTGAGGACTGCAACCAGCGATATGCTTGGGAGACGCTAAGCCAATTATTAGTTCCCTGGTTATCACGATTCAGTTAGAGTTCCCCGGTAGTCAAGCAATCACCACATTAAGTATGGAAGATGACTATCTATAGCCTCTCCACGTTACTCCACGTCACATTTCGCATTCATCACCTCGGAGAACATGTGCGATCATCAAGTAACTTATCATAGTGCGATGCCTCATGCCGCCAGACAACCGCAAGACGCATCATATATTGTATTGATGAGGGAAAGGGAGGTCGATCGTATCCTCCATGCGAGTAACCTCGGATCGATCAGCATGTTGGACAGCCCAGTCCATGACGTTCTCAAATTTCCTGCATGCATGACGAGTGTTGAAATTAGGGTAGGGTTTCGTGTGGTTCTTTACCCAGTCCCAAGTGATCATTGCGACCTCGGCATCGCACATAATAGACTGCCTGATCAGTTCGATGCAGTCATCTAAGGCGTTTGCCATGAGCAGGACGTATGTCGGGTAGGCAGGGAAATTTACCCAGATGTATTCGAACTACCGAGGAATCCCGCTGGAACCAGGGATCCAACTTGTAGTGGTCGGGCCAAGAGGATTTGCGAAGGAAGTTCTACAAAATTATCAACCAAATATGACCGGGATCTACGTGTAGCATAGTTTACCAGACAACGCAGTTGGTGATTGACTTCCAACGATGCCATGAAACCTCCACCGTTACTCTGTGGATACTTGACCTTGGCTGGCAGATCTACTTCTCCAGCTTTGCGTAGGTCATCAATCGTAACCCGGATTGGTGGCACTGTGATTTTATGGAGGTGAATAACGACCGACAGCACAGTAGAATAAAATTGAATGTCATACCATCGTCAGAAATCCTGGCCCAAGCGGCATCGAGTTCTGGAGGAGGAGGGCCATGATAGTCGGGAGCTTCGAGAGGTCCACCGTTAATACGATAGATGGAGGGAAAATCAATGGTCCCATTGAACTTTATAACAACAGGCTCGACAGCAACACTTGCTGGAGCTGCAATTGGTCAACATTTTGACCATCTAGTGCCATCTGACTACTCACAGTATATAGCAAGATGAGCAGAAGGTGTGCTTATCCATAACATGGAGGAGAACACACATGTGACTATAAGCGAACTAATGCTTAACCAAGGCCACAGGTAAAGAATGCGAGATTTGAGATGAGGTTTTGCACCGGGCCTGTCTACGTCACCAAAGATTGTCTCCTCATCGATATCGACAACATCAACAGGAGAGTGTGGAGAATCTTGAGCCATGCTGGCTCCTGCGATTAGCAGCTGCGTCTACTGCTCAGAGCTGAATACGAAAGCCGGTGAGATATAGTTGAGAAAACTACGTGCAAATGCTTCAATATGAGTCTTTGATGTGGGGGATGGATATTAGGATATCATGTTGTAAACGTGCTGCAGCCTGTTTTGACAGCTAGTGCTAACTGTGTAATCAAGGAATCTGACACTCTTCTCAAGATCATTACTCACCAAACGAGCCGGAACATCAATATTTCGTTTCGATCATCTTTTCTGGGAAGGGAATTTGCCCGGATTTGCTGGCAACTTCCATAGATCCTGGAAGTTGTATCACAATATTAATCGAAGGTTATTGCACTCGTATCAAAAAGTTCGCATATACACTGGATATGCGAACTATCAACTTGCTATGACAAAATAATGAAGTTCGGAAGAAGTAGACATGGAAGAGCAGTCGCGCATTTACAACTTTTCACAAATTATTGTTTGTATCCCTCTGTAGTTCCCACGGCTACATTAATATCTGTTAGATGCGGCAGCGACAAATGATCCAGGTTTTCTCAAATTAAGGACCGGCCGGCGACTCCTGTCAGAATACTATTGATTACCACTAGTTCGTGCACACCACATCTGGTGCAATCACACAAATGACACGGTATCATCACACTGGCCGATTTCAAAGTCCATTTGGTGTTGGACATTAAGGTACACGTGATTGTGTGCCGAACCGCCAGCTGAAGCTTACTTAAGTAAGCATTGCCAAAAGCGGAGGAGGCGCGTCTGGCGAGGGTGGACCGGTAGTCAAAGAGACCAGTGCGGGACGGAACGCGGACGGAAAATTCTGGGGACGGTCGGTGTAGGTAGATGGGTCCATGATGTGGCATCGTTGAGCTGCTGAAGCTTTTGAGCCGTGCGAACGTGCTGCAGAGAGCTTCGGATGATCCACTGGGCGGAGTGCTGCTGAGTGTTGCCGAGCGGGATTCGAAAGGGCTCCTTAGGGGCGTCAATTTTCCAGTCCGAACTGGCGCGTGGGATTCGTGCCGTTCTCCGCGCGATTTCGCTGCCTCCAGCTTCGTCCTAGCTCCGCTCGGCTTTGCAGCGGCGGCCACAATTTAAATTTCACGGCAACCGTGCTCACGTCACTGCCACTAAGTTATCGTCCTTTATCTGGTAGTGGCTCCTGCTTATTCTGATTGCTATAGACTGTAGTAGATGCTTCATATATACCACCTCTCGGGACCGCCAATCTCGGACTCACTCAATGATTGGACCGTCAATTTTTCACACGAAGGACCAAGATTACAAGCAAAAACATACCGATATCGAGTATACGTGTGTATATGAGCAACTACTGGAGCGAAAATGGACAGCAGAAGCTCTCACTCGAGCTTGCTTGGGACTACGTCTCTCCTGCGAATGGTCCGTCTATCGTACCTACTACTGTGACCGTCCTGTCGTCGGCGGCCAAGGCCACCAACTTTGCTAGTGAAATAGCAATGAGCTGACGTCTCCAGAGACATTCCTCGAGCACGATGAATTTCAACGTATACCGGGCAACAGTGGGCAACCCGAAAACTGACTACTGGTGCCTAGAATCTGGTAGCGAGATTTACTTGTCATAATGTGTCGAACTGGAAAGATTGCACGTATGTCATGCCAACTCATTGAGATCTGATGCCACAGAATAGCGGGAATTTTAAGCAGGGTCTTAGTTCAGATTCAATTATTGACACTTTCTAGGTCTCCGAGGTCCACAGGCCATATGTTGCAAGTGTTTCAAAGTTTCGTCCTGCCTGTCCCGGACTGTCCGATTCATATCCAACCGATCCCTTTTCTTCCTCCGTACGTTATGGACAAGGAATATTCTGCTCAGTACTCTCCTGTCGATGAAGTGGACGACGAGGATGCGAAGCTTCTCCATAGGGGTACAGACACCAGACCTCATTCAAAGTCCCGCCTGCTTCACGTATCGCTGTGGCTCATACATGGCGTGCTGATATCCGCAACGTTACTCTTCTTCACGCTATGGGCACGGGCACCTTCGAAGGATGCCATACTCCTGTACTGTAGGTGGACAGACGGAATGACAGAAATACCTTCCTGACCCATCACAGCTCCAGCGAACGAGGCTATTGAATCCAAAGGCATCGTGAGATTTAACGGAAGTTGGGATCACCGTTCGATATACCGCGGTAGTCCGTCTCCAGATCTCGAAGCAGCTTGGAATAGAGTAACTATCGATGGTTGTATATCTTTGTTCCTATCGAGGTAATTACTGATTGACAACCTTTTCAGGGCGCCTATTGGATATGACGCTCGAACAACTACTCAGAACAGGGGAAGAACCTGCCCCATTCATGGCTAGGTATCCGGAAGAGCACGGCGGAAATTATTTAGCGAGTGTAGAGGTCATTCATCAGCTCCATTGCATAGTCAGTCGTAACAGGAGGCTACTCGATCTTTACTCACCCCTTATAGAACATGGTTCGCCAATCCAGCTGGGGTGACCATTACCTAACACACGATCTTGACTTCGTCCGGTCCCCTGGCGCATGGCGCGTCCATCTTGGTTAGCTTACTGTTACCTCCCAGCCTACATCCTGCATGCTAACGTTGTACATCAGATCACTGCATCGAAATTCTCAGACAGATCATTATGTGCCGCTCTGATGTAACAATAGCTACTTACAATTGGGTTGAGGGACTCGATGATCCTTACCCAAACTTCAACGTTCCTCATCAATGTAGGGACCTCGAGAAGATCTTGGATTGGGTAGATGGTCATCGTGTTCACGTCTCTCAATCGGAATTAATCCGCCAAGAGGATAATGTTGACCTTCCATCCCCACCCTGATTGTATTCTCGACCCATGGAGGATCCACAGGGGGCATGATATCACATCACGAATGTAACTATAACTTTGCTATAAGATGGGTTCCATAGTACTTATAGGCTGTTGCACAATAAACTCACTTCGATATCTTGTAAGGTCGACGACTTCTACTGAACGTACCAAGGTAGTTCTACGACCATCGGGAGAACTCTTGACAGCTTAATATTTATGTCTGCTGATATAGTTATCCACAGTAGCTAGCTCAAAGCTAACCAATAGGAGACAGATAATGAGCAACACAGCATGACGTAGTAGACACAATAGCACCCGATGCCGGCGGTTATTCGTTGTAGAATGCACTTTAGGTCGTAATATCTTTTCTATGTGACACATACCCCACCTCCTCACAGATCCTGAAGCCACTGCCTATCTTGTCCGATTTGTTATTGATTGCTACACGTCGTTTGAAAAACACCTTCGGTAAGGTACCTTCGTCAGGGAAACAAACGAACTGATTCGCTCTGCAGTAACGCCACACTTTATGTACATAATATTCATGCCAAGACATTAATATTAAGAACTCAACCTAATCATACCATACCTCCATTCATATTATAATTCCATCCTCTCGCCTATACGGAATCGCTCATCACAAGGATATAGTCAAATATGAAGAACAATCTGACAGCCACTACTAATCTGTTCTTTCCAGAAATATTTCGCACCTTAATAGATTCCCGTAACACTCCGCATAAGCGGACGAGAACACGCCCTGATATCTCACTTATTGCCCCTAGTTAAAATCATTTCATTGTTGAAGGGTGCGTCTAAAACATTCGGCGGGAACTGTGGACTGGTAGGGGCACGCCTCACACCAGGGCATTCGCAACTTCAGAGATAAGACAGGACACAGGGGTCCCCTAGAGGTTAGCATGAACTTCCTGCACAGAGTATTTCTCCTAACGGACACAAATGGGATTTTAAAAAGGCATACATTGTGTACCACGAGGCATGACCCCAATGACCATAAATTAACAAAGACGTGAAAAAATGTCCGTCATGATGCATGATATCAGCCCAGGTCCTCTGCTTCGGCATGTAAGCAAATGTCTGAAAATGTACACGCATTCGAATCTATTCGAACGCCCGCACTCGTGGCGGGCTGGAGTGGTGTACCAGTCACTTATCGATGCTACGCACTCTGGAATAGTATTCCCAGGCGACAGCCCTATATCCAAGTCATAACGAGAAAAGTATGACCTGATTCTGAGATCTGAGGTCCTGACGATCCGAGAAATTGAAAATGTGCGTTGCATAGTGCATATCTACTAGCTAGGGTTCGGCGTTGCCGACTTTCACCTTGCTTGCCCACAAAATTACTAAGCAGATTTATATTCGTTTGTAATCTGTGCTGCGTGTGATGAGGACGGATGCAAAGCCTAGTCGATCATGGATAAGGGTTCTGCAGAGACTGTTTCCATGCGATTAACCGACTTTTCTTGTGCAGCTGCGAGTACAGCATCCAACAAGTCGCTTCGTTTACGTTTTTGGCTCTAGGAAAAAAAATTATCTTTTCATATTGCGATGATATTATTCATGGTAAGCTGCGTCAGAGCATCATCGAGTTTCATAGACATCGACATGGATTATATGTTGAACGTGACGGTTCAGAATTGAAATCGTTGTTATTTATTGACATTTGTGTACATTATGGTTAGTCCGTCAGTCGCCGTCAGATTTCTAGGGGTGATGATGACCTTGCAAGCCAGGTGATGTAAGTTAAGCATCGACGCGTCACGCGTCCGTATCATCTTAGATCCAAATCTCAAAGCCCCAAAGTCGATCGATCGGACCCCATACGTTTACCTGTGAGAAGGTCACCTGTTACAGTTTTCTGTTACTGACAACCCATAAGGTGGCATATTTCATTAATAATTAATCAAAGTCAAGGTTGTTCATGAATAAAATCAGTTTCAGAATTTTTGACTCAGCTTGGTGCACAGTTATCATCATTAGTTCGGGGACATGGGTCAGGTCCTGTGACAAGCGTTTAGTTTTGCGGACATACTATATGACTGCCCTGAACCTTTGTCATTGCACAAATGGCAGACAGCTCGGAGTGACTCACTAGGCTGAGCTGCTCATTATCATTGCCAATCAGGCTAACTTGGCCCCTGGCATCACTCAATGCTGTCAGATACCAGTTGCCGCTGCTTGTGACACGCTCGTGTGGAGCCATAATTGCGTCACAAATAGCACGTTATGCCCTGACTTCTACATCCGTTTAATCGATAATTGAAGTGGCAAGGTGCTTCCTGGAAAATATTGGTAGATAAGCTGAACGTCATGCCACGTCGTATTCCAGAAAGATCCGATGGTTAAGCGCTTAGCGAACCTACGAAAAGATATAAGAAGGACCTTTGAATTTTCAACGTAGGCACTGACAAAGCGATCACTTCCTCTAACCTTCACTCCTCTTAACTTCAAACATGCAACGTTCTCTCCTGTTTAATGCACTCGCCTCCATGGTGGCTCTTGCGGTCGCATACCCCATGTCAGAAGTGATTACGGGTTCCTGCGAGTATTCATGACATTAGCAGCACTATAGTTGTTAACATATCATGCAGCCGTAGCAAAGCGTGAGGATGAGGCGGCCAGTGGCGTATACTTCCCGATTAGCTACGACGATGACAAGAAGCGCTGCAAGTATTCATGACCGCTTGTAACACCAAAACGCTGACGTACCTATTCAGCTGAGGATGAGGCTCTTGGGGTCTACTTCCCGATCAGCTACGACGACGACAAGAAGCGCTGCAAGTATTCATGACCGCTTGTGACATCACGATGCTGACGCACCTATTCAGCCGAGGATGAGGCTCTTGGGGTCTACTTCCCGATCAGCTACGACGACGACAAGAAGCGCTGCAAGTATTCATGACCGCTTGTAACACCAAAATGCTGACGTACCTATTCAGCTGAGGATGAGGCTCTTGGGGTCTACTTCCCGATCAGCTACGACGACGACAAGAAGCGCTGCAAGTATTCATGACCGCTTGTGACATCACGATGCTGACGCACCTATTCAGCCGAGGATGAGGCTCTTGGGGTCTACTTCCCGATCAGCTACGACGACGACAAGAAGCGCTGCAAGTATTCATGACCGCTTGTAACACCAAAATGCTGACGTACCTATTCAGCTGAGGATGAGGCTCTTGGGGTCTACTTCCCGATTAGCTACGACGATGACAAGAAGCGCTGCAAGTATTCATGACCGTTTTTAACACTAAAATGCTGACGTACCTATTCAGCCGAGGATGAGGCTCTTGGGGTCTACTTCCCAATTAGCTACGACGACGACAAGTAGCGCAATGAGCGCCGGGAATGTTCCGACAAGTACCTATCTAGTTGACAACATATCTTTACTTACACACCAATGCAGTGAACAGTAAATCCGCCTTATAAACTTGGAGCTGTAGTACTAATACAAGTCGGGGAATGGAAGGGGATGTTTATGAGTAACTTAGCTTGTGGTCGTTTCTTTTAGCAACGTACATCGGTTAGCGAGTCGAATTACTGGTATTTGAGATCTCAATCAAGCTCCCCGGTGGACAGGCAAGAAATTTGAAAGCTACCAACCTTGGACCTGCCGCGAATATTCCATGATATGAAAGAGAGCCCTTCGGGTGGAAGGTGCCTATCGATATACTGTTCCAGTGCATAGTACGACGAGGCAGAAGACGACATTAAGGGCTTGCAGGCCGACAATGGATCACGCCACCGGGTGATCAGGAATCGGGATGCAGTCTTGCTTGAAGCTGTGTCACGAAGAGTAGTGGCATAGTAAACCTGGCGGCCCGTTCAAGGCCCGCTCCTACCAGTGATATTCCAAGTTCAGGTGACTCTAGAGGTCACCAGCCTGAACTTTAAATTAGCGACTCGATTACATCTTCAGACGAATGGTGCCATGTAATAATATTTATGCCAGCTGTTGGACTTACTTTCAGGAGACTTCGGCAGTTCGGCGACTTCACCGTTTTGCAGTCGCACCACTTTTAGATCATACGGGTTTCCGACATGCCATGCACATAAATAACGCCTCTGCATTGGCTCCCCATCCATGATCACTGGACTCGTATCTCTACGAGCTCAGCAATTCGTTTTCAGGCTCACGCGCAACATGACGACAAAGGTGCATGCTATTGCACAGACAGGATTCGGCACTGGGACGAATGAACTATACGACCGGTGAGTTAACTACCATCCACGTGGTCCACACAGTGCGCTAATACATGAGCTGTGCGTAGGGTTCGTCCTTCGTACCCAGCTGAGTGTCTTTCGTACATTCGTCAGGTATCAAAGAGCACAGCACCTTTGAAACATTGTCGAGTGAGTCACACACGTTACTTTTAGTTCCTCCTTCCAATTGGCTTTCAGAATTGGGGCAGGGACAGGTATTTTCACCCGTGCCTTGCTAGATCACTCTGAGTGGGCTACGAGCATTGGCACGCTGAGAGCTATCGAACCTAGCGACGGCATGCGTGATGTGTGGACGAAGACTGTCGATGATAACCGCAGTTCTATTGTCAAAGGGACATTTGATGACACTGGTGTTGAAGATGGGTGGGCGGACCTTATCATTATTGCACAGGTGAGTAGTACTATCAAGATAAAGGTAGGTGCAGGTGTTCACTCATCGGACATTTAGGCATTCCATTGGTGCCCCGACTATGGGAAAGCATCGGCTGAATTCGGTCGTATTTTGAAGAAGGACGGCGCAGTTGTGTTCATATGGAACCTTGAAGACAGGTTCGCTTTTGTTATTTTCTTTGTATCAATTCTTCTGACAGCATCGAAGAGACGGTGCAGGTTGGGTTGCGCAACTCCGTGACCGCATCGAGGCTCATGAGAAAGGGACGCCCCAATTTCGCCTCGGTCTCTGGAGGGAGACGTTCTCTACACCTGAGTATATCTCCTTGTTCCATCCTCAGGAGGAAGAAGAGTGGGCATATCATCTTCTTGCTAGCGAGCAAATTGTTACGGATCGCGCTCAGTCTAAAAGTTATATTGCCGTACTCCCTCCAGATGAAAAGGCCAAGGTAGTGGAGGACGTCAAAGGTATCCTCGAGCGAGGAGATGGTAGAGTTTGGATTAACAAGGAGGAGGGCACGTATCAATATCCATACAAGACTTACATAGTGGTATCTAGAAAGAAGTAGACCTAGAGGAAACAGTCGAGTAGTCATAACTCCGAGTCAGAATAAACGTTGTATACATTCTCCGCTCGCGACACGGGGCTACAGTGGCAAAGCTACGGATATCTGCCAGTATACATTAGATCTCTCAGTTGACATCGATCGAGCTGTCCTCCACAAGCCTGACAGCTTCTTCTAAAGCATCATCTAGCTCGGTCAGCCATGCCCACTCCCAATTTTTGGTGATTGTATCACCGAGCTCATGTAAAGGTACGTCCTCTTGAGATGCGCATAGTTGGCCACTACGCATTGAGCGCCGAGCCACTTCCGATGAGAATGGCCTTCTCAACCTGTCGTAGATGGCGAGGGCCCTAGGTACCGTTTCTAGGGTCGTAGATTTGTGACCAAGAACGGTCATGAGTAAGTAAGCATCCTATCAAATCAAATCAACACGGTGTAAATTTCTCGGAGTGCAGTCGTGCACAACTGACCTCGATACTCTGGCCAGCACCGGAGCCTTGGAACGGCGACATTGCATGCGCAGCATCTCCTATGATCGCGACTCGCCCGAAATTAGTGGATGGCAAAGTTTTCACGGTGTGCACGGCCAAAAGCGTGCCCTTTTCTACACACTGGAAATCGTCAGTGATGAACAGTAGCTCGGATACGAACAACAGACCTCGAGAATGTGCTGTGCATCCTCTTCAAAGTCTTTGAAAGGCTCAATAAACTGCTGAGCAGTGAGTTCACTAACCCACTCGTCGTTTGTCTTTCCTTTGAAAGACGGACGAGGGATGTCTGTATCGGCTTCATACGCCAAGTCAACGAGATCACGCTCAAGTGTGAAACCCGAAAAGTTGACGTATTTCCCAAGAGAAATTGGGTATGTAACTAAGTACTACAATGCATCAGCCTCAGCACAATGTACACCATTTATTAAAGAGTCTCACAGCATCTTTTCCGATGTACTGTGAATGAAAGCGCAGGGCCAAATTAACGGTATGAAATGCAACTGGAATTAGGCTTACCTGGGTGAACTCCCTTAAGGCACGGTGGTCAGGGTAACGCGCGCGCAGCTTCTGTGTGGAAACTAGTGATCTGTATGCAGTGACGCCGCTCCAGATTGGGTTCATGCAAGATAGCACAGACTGCTTTTCATCGGGATCCATGTCCTCAGCCAGTTCACGCAACATACAGGGCCGGACTATAGATTTTATGCCGTCAGCACCAATTAAAACATCGCATGTTGCAGTCGATCCATCCTTGAATGTTAGTGTAATCGATGAATTTCTTGAACAGTTTTCCAAGGGCTGAGTATATGATATTAGTCGCTTGGCGTTGTGCGTTGTGCAGGACGGTGGAAGAAATGAAAGTAGTACGCCTTGGAAGTCGGCTCGATGGAAACGCATAAGTTTACCTGTTCTACCAACGGTGTTCAGGGTGGGATGCATTTGAGTGCAGAGGGAAAGTTGACCTTTCGTCATCAAGTCAAACAGCTCAATGCCGACGGCTTGATCGCTTTTACGGTTCTTAATAGATGGGACTAAATTTCTCTCAGTGGATTTGAACATGTATCGTATAGAATTTCCACTGACCATATTCTTCTGTGTATTCGTAACCGCAGCGTTGAAGCAGTTGCTGTTCAAAGTCGGGTCCCAATTTCCGTAAGACCTGGATAATTGTCGTATGCTAGCATGTCTATTATTTTCCGAGATCCGTACCTTGAATGACCTGGGCCAGACACCAATACCGGACCCAATCTCACAAAAGCTCTGCGCGGCTTCATACACGTCGACGGCAATATCCTGGTGCCGGGACAAAGCAACAGCTAATGTCAAACCGCCTACCCCCCCTCCGCTAGGGTAGAATTGTAATGAGCTTGACTACGACGACAAGCTGAAGACACCTTACCAGATAGCGATCCTAAATCTCGGGTTAGACATTGTACTAGTATCTGGAGAACTGTGGTTCGATAAGCCCAATGGTTGATTATACATCAGTGCTGTCGTTGCGACAGCTGCCGGATGGATCTAGGTGAGAAAATAGATATTCTGTATTTGCAATGTAGCACAGTAAATTTGTTCTCTTGAGTATGATTGAACCATGTCGGGGATGATCAGGGGGAAGCTTCACTTATGCCGTTAAAATCTGAATCATGCATGAAAACCTACGAACGATGGTGTGACAGTGTCTTGAAACTAGTGTCAGCGTCGGATAACATAACGAATAGTCTGTAATTAGAAAATGGGTGTTGCAGTGCGCACGCCCAACTTTGAGATAACCCTTTGATACTAGTCCCGATTTGGAAACATCAATCAACGATCGAACGGATTCAATTGAGTTGCGGTAAAGCGAGACTTGGATAGTACACTCTCGTCATATGTACTCGTGGACCCGACCTGCTCGTCGGTTCCTTTTAACATCCTCCCTAAACCTGCAGGCTCTCGATGCCTGGATAGCATCCCCGAAATCACTTGTGCTCACTGATACCTTTCATTCTAATCACCTTTCAGACCTTTACATCACTCTACCCACTCGTGACGGCACACATGGTCGCCCGTTTGCATCCCCTGTAGAAGGTACACCCCTCGGATATGGACACCACCTTGCCTTCTTCCACCCACGTAATCCTGAGGCATTACTACGCACAGATGGGACCGACGCTGACTTCTGTCCGCCGGAACCATTCACACGCCGGATGTGGGCGGGTGGTACCATGACTTGGAACAAGGAACGAGCATTGAAAGTAGGAGAGAAAGCGACTGCAGTGTCTACTGTAGCCAAGGTTGAGAAGAAAGGATTTGAGCTCGGGAAACCGATGATATTCGTCAAACAGAGAATTGAAGTGACTATGGATGGACGAAGTGAACCTGGGATGGTGGAGGAACGAGCACATGTCTACCAAGCATCTGTAGCCAGTGTAGGGAGCCGCGTACCCCGTCAAGGCAAGTCTTCGAAACAACCAGTGACTTACATGGGTGCTGATGCGGACACCTCTAATCAGTGAAAGATCTCCCAAAGTCTGAGTTTTCGTTGTCGTACACTCCGACCCTGACGACGCTATTCCGCTTTTCTGCTCTCACATTCAACGGGCATCACATACACTTGGACAAGGATTATGCGCAGAAAGTTGAAGGATATCCAGGTGAGTTCGAGCTTTATTTCCCGGTTAATATCATGTAAATCCTGTTCCTAGAGAGACTCGTTCATGGACCCTTGACAGCCCTTTTACTTCTAGAGAGCCTCATTTACCATCGCCCAAGGGCCCAACTGCGCATCTTTAGCTATCGCGCACACAATCCAATTTTTGTGAATTGTGCCGCGACGATACATGGTGCTATCGTGGCAAAGGACAAAGCGGAATTGTGGTGCGAAAACGATGAAGGGGTTGTTGGCATGACTGGCGTTATTCAGTTCGACGAATAGATCTGCGACATTGTCGTATCAGACCTTTGTTCGCAGTCTTCTCGGGACGTTGACAACATCAAACTCGTACAACGCCAACGCTGGCAATTGTTTATGCAGATAATGGCGTTGGAACAGAAGTTCAGATTATGTCAGATAAGTAATGTGTTTGTGTTGGCTCGATGGTACATACTCTTGCACTACGGACACAATCACATACCACCCATGCATGCATTGCTGACGACGACAAGAAACTATTGAAGGACATCTCATGCCTCCCTTAGTGCGTACCTGAAGCAAGTAAGCAAGTAAGCACGAGATAGGAGTTCAGCGAGAGCAAACGTACATTTTCACAGGAAACAGCCCTTCGGGAAGTCCGTGTTGGATTTTCTCTTGGATGATCTTGAGACCAGCATCCCGGAAAACATTTTTGAACGCGAGGTCTGACCTGCAAAGCCAAGATAAGATTTTGTAAAACAAAATCGCTTCTTACGAACCGAGTGAAGCTCGAGTCTTGCTCGTCAAAAACAGTCACCGGCTCACTTTGCTCGCGGCATATATTCTCCTTCACTACGATGAGACTCCTCGCATCACGTAGAGCCTTCCTACTCCTCTGCAGGAACTGCACAAGATCATCATCTTTCAAGTGGCCTAGGCACCATTGGCACCATATCACGTCGAATTTCGATTCCATATCGTCATCACCATCTTGCGGCAGATAACCGACACGATCCAGGGGTTGTCCCTGGTGCAACTGGGTCAAACGATTGCAAAGCACCTTTGATGAACGTGACGCTCTTCGATCGATCAGCGATACCCTTCCATAAGACCCTATACCCGCTGTCATTTATTTCTAAACCGGATTCACTGGCTTTTCCACGTGATCGGGCTTCGTTGATGAAAGGCTCTACAGGCTCGAGCAGGACGACATCTGAGACAAGAGGAAGGAGGACGTCTGACGTGACGCGCCCGACTCCTGCTCCGACATCAAGAGCTCTCACACGCCTGGTTTCGGACGGAGGGGCAGAGAGACTCCGAAATGGCGATGGGACTGTGGATAGTTCTGGAAGGAGATCGAGGAGGAAGCGACGCGATCCAAGAGAATCGACACGAGGAAGTGACTGTCACCAATGCTTCAGTACAGAGGTTCGGTGAGGAATGAGATCTGAGTCACCCCCGTTCCAAATCCACCTGGATGTGATGTTAGCCGATGTTCGATGGCAAAGTGGCTAGCAATGAAGCAGACCAAGCACGCCGTCGTAGTTTGCGGGCTGGGTAGCCCAGTATTGAATACCTGCTTCAAGGTCTGGAACTGGATCGGTCGAAGACATTGTTTATCGTGATCATGATGTGCATTGTGCATCCGAGATCTGTGTGAAGACTTGGGTCACGTGATTTCAACTGAACTTATGTTGTTGATCTCAAGGAGTTAGCCAAACCTTTATAGACGAAGGAAGATAGACGTTCCTTCTAATATCGAGGAGCAAGTCTACATTGGTTGGAATCGGAGGACGGTGGACCAGCCCAAGGGCAGGAGCTAGTACACACCAAGGTATCGGCCCTTCCCATAGCTTAGTCAGCACATAGACTAGGTTTCACCATGTCCGTAGCTAGCAAGATCTATCATCATCTCAGCTTGCCTGCCTTGCTCTGGGCTTAGGCCGCTGGCCCTGCTCCAACGGACGTGATGAACGAAGACGTTCGGCTATTGTATGACATTCACTCATTTACGTATCATCTGAATCTACGCATATATATCATCAAAGTCTTCGTCATTTGTCCCGAGAGACATGTCAGCGTTCCCTGCAGATGGCGTGCTCAACACGGATGACACTGGAAGTTGCTTCGATGCTGTATACTCTTCTCTCTCCAATTCCCGCACCATATCCCACATTTCTTCATCCTGGTCATCGACTAAGAGGCTTGGTTTACTACTCTTTGGAGGCGGCGGAGCAGGGTTGGGGATTGGGTTATCGAATATTTCGAGGTCATTCCACATCGCCTCTTCGTCGATGTCCATCCCATCTGCAACCTCGGGTGGCAAAGTTTTATATTTGGCCTTTGATGCGGGAGGTGCAGGGGAAACAGAACGTTGTGCTCTGAACGCAGCGAGGCGTTTCTCTTCCTCTCTAACGACAGCATCGATATCAAAATCGTCGTCTTCGGCCTCTGATGATGAGGGTGGAAGAGATGGGGCATGCAAAGAGGACGAATCGTCAGTCACGTCTGCACCATCAAAATTTGGATCGGTGAGGTCGATAACGTTGTCGCCGCCGTTTTCTCCTGGCTCCTTGCCATTGACAAGACCTTTCGCCTCATCACGCCATACGCTCAATCGGACCTTCATTGATGTGTGATTGTGATATGTGAACGCGATCGATATTCGGTCGTACCTGCATTCGTTTTGAGTGACATAATTTTTCGACGCGCTCAACGGTGTCTTTGAACGGAGTCTTGGGGTACAATCTATGAGACCAAAACTGGTACACCTGGAGAATCCGTTGGAGGTCTGAATGCTAAACGAACATCCAGACATCCGCATTAGCGCCCAAGTCCGCTGTCAGTGTAACTCACCTCATGACCTTTCCCTTTAACCTTAAAATCTTTGATATTCTGAATGAGCTGTGGAAACCCCGATGCCCCTATCAAACTTGTTTCATCGAGTAATACAACCTTCTTTCTCTCTTTTTTCCCATCTTTTCCTTTATCCTTGTTATCCTTTCCTCCCTCATTTTCTTCGTCGGGACCTAAATCTCTTGGTGGAGAACTACTAGGCAAGATTTGATGGGGTGTCAACGCGTGTTTTGCCTCGGCCTGTTTTCGGAGTGCCTCAAGGTCAAGGGCAGGTGCAAGGGGTTTATATCTTAGGTCATCCTCCTCCTCTGCGTCATCATTATCGATGTCGGCGAAAAGCGCATCTACGTCTGGTCTCGGTGCCGAGCTAGTAGGTCTCTTCGGCGCTGGTTGCTCGTCTTCGTTGTCTGAGTCGGAAAGAAATAATGTTTCTCTAGGGCGTTTCTGAGAGCTGACTGTATCCGAATGCGGCGTAACAGCATGAGCAGGAGAAATTGGCGCGTCCCAGATGTCGTCGAGAGACATGAATGTTCTGGTGTAAAGACGCGTTATTTTGATTTGTTTGTCCGATGCGCGTTATATTTTCCTTTTCCACGGTTTACAGTCAAGCTTGCCAAGTTGTAGCCGTATGTATAATTAATATGCCATGAAAGCTTTCTCTTCCGAATTCACCGCGTATGCCGTGCTTTCCTCTGGGTAGTGCAAGGATGATTATCTTACGTTGGAGTTGTTGAGCTCGAATGTGTGATGATTATCCATGAGCATTCAAGGGTAAGTCGCTGCCACACAGCCTGAGACCATGTAGCACACCAAGCGACGTTTACGAGGGTTCAGCAGTCAATTAATCATCATCCACTGTTTGAGAAGGTCAGTCTTGGAAACTAGTACTTGAAAATGTCGACTGATATATTACCTTATATCACTTATTGCGACAGTGTCTCGCGAATCCGATTATGTCTGCATAATTTTCGGGCACAATCCACAACGTTATTTTGCACCCGCGTAACAATCATGTACGCACGACAGAATCTAGAATCGCTGTCAGGAAATCGATGTCAAAATTCTGCCGCAACCAGAGTCGCATCCAAACTCCGGATCCAGACCTTCAGATGGTTATTAAGTACGGGAAACCTAATTGCAAAATAGTAGGCGCAAAAAGTGAGATCATAGTCGAGCGACATAACAATTAATCTATCGGACTCCTCACCTTCCAGCTCGCACAATTATCCATACCAGGTATCCGTTTCCCTCAGGAACCTATCGCATCCACCATGGATGATATTACAGCCATCTGGATGGAAGGGATCGGGGGAAAGGAAGTAGTCATGCGTGTCTTTTGTTTCTGAGATATGAAATATGACGCAGCAGACCGTTCGATATTCCAGGAGAGGTTCAGGTGTCGCTTCCGCGATGACCCTCGACGGAGGGGCGGAGAGGAGAAAGTCGGAAGTAGGCTGGGACTACATCAACACCCTCTGAAGCCTGATGCAAACGTCTGCGTTCAACGTTGAACGACTGGCGAGTTATTGAAGTAGGTGACTGCCAGATATCCCCTTGAAACTCAAATGATCCATACACTTCCCGGTATTCATAACCCCACGGCGGACGGGCTTTTCACCATTTGCAGTGACAGAATCAATTCACCCAGGTGCTATAAAAGGCAGAGTAAATATCATACAATGGTGTGAACTTGATACCGTCACTCTACATCCGGTGGTGCCCAGAGTACACAACGCCCACTTGCATTTCCTGTTGCACATCTTTCGACAACGTTTGGGTGGGAACATGTTACAGCTTGTGTAGCAGTGAGCCTGAGATGACAAAGTTAGTTATAGTCACCCAAGACTCAGATCACTTACCGGCTGTCTTTGAGTCTCGCAATCAATTGTCCCTGAAATTAAAAATATCGGAGCCCGTCAAACGGGTCCAGCTAATGTATGGATGAGTGAGTACCTTGCATGAATATATATCTAGAGCGTAGTTCATATTCCCGATCTACGTTGTCATCAATCAGACGATAGGCTGCGCCCGGTTGTAACAAATCACTGACTGTGAAGTGGGGGAACACGTCTGGGTTGGGATTCCAGACCGCACGAAGAATGGTCACCCATTTGCCCTGGAAAGCGTCAGTGAAGGAGAAGGGAATACGGTGATGAGGCTGATCCTTACTGTCTGACAATTGTGTTTTATCCCGCGGAATGGCGCGAAGGAGGGGAAAGCAGGTGATGAATTGTACTTCGCGACATCCAAATCCCACACTGTAAAACCGTCAGTTTGTCTTGAGGCACGCAAATATATCACCCACATCTTATTGAATCGTCGTAACTCGTACTAACGATGCCTCTCCCTCTCGGGTCCCAGTATGCTGAGCTCACCGACTTTCCATGTTGGAATATACCGCGAACAGTACCCTTTCCCTTCTTTGAATTGACTAAGTCTTCGACAGTGGATTGGCTGAGTTGATATGGGCCAGTTGCAGAGGTCAATTTCTGTAGTTTCCTGCTGTCCCACACCCTTGGAAACCCGCTGTTAGAAAAGAAGACATGGGCATAGATGATAATCATATCTTACTTCAATACACGACTGTTCGACGCTGTGAGCAAGAGATGCGGACTTGTCGGGTTGATGCTGACGGTGCCAATTTTCGCAGGTGACAGACCATACCAACAGGCTTTGTCTTTCGGTTCCCGAAGATCAAGGTGAGTGAGGCCGCCGGAAGCGTCAGATATCCACATTTCGTGGCCACCAACTGGAAGGTCCATACTTGTGATCAGGTGTTCTGAAGAGAATATCTCTTGCGAAATCCCTGAGACGAAAGACAAGCGGCGTATTGTGTTATCGTATGAGGTCGTAAATAGCTATAAAAATGCTCTTAGTGCAGCCATTTTTTGAACAAGTTAGGTCCTCACACTATGCGCATCAATTGGGTCGAATTTTATAGATGATATTGACGATACCGAAGAAGCAGGCCAGTGACACTGGAGGCGCCAATGTTTCCCGCCTTCTCTATGGTCTGCAGAGATGTCGCCGTCTTCATCTTCAACCTCATCTACGGGAGCTCTGGCATCCCATATTCCAATTTGACCGTGTTTGTCTGCATGTGTGTTAGCGACTTGCCAATAACTTGATCACGGTACCTTACCCCCAAAGAACACTAAATCCTTGGTAGCCTCGGGGTGGTAGGCAGCGCTGTAGACTCTGTCCACAGTCACCTTGGCGCGAGACACTACCCTCATCTTCTGGAGTTTATTTCTCAATTCTGTGACTTCAGCTTCATTCTTCTGGTCTTCATGAAATACAAATGCATCCGCATCTGCAGCACGTTTTGGTAGCGGAACATTCGTGATGGCTTGCAGAGACGATCGGAGCGAGCTGAGTTCTGACTCCTCTAGCTTGTCACACAACGTAGTGAGATCCAATTCCTGATGTCTGGGGCGTTTTGCAAGACGAGCTTTCTCCTCAGCCTCGAGGCGCTCTTGCTCTTCAATTTGGCGCCTCTTCTTCTGTTCTTCCTGCAATGTGATTAATCGTAAATGCTGGAAGACTACAGTCATACTGGCACTCACCTCTCGCTGCTTCTTCTGAGCAGCAGTTTCGTTTGGATCCACGACCTCCTTCTTAAGACGTGCGCTCTGCCTACGAGGCGCTTCTACAACTTCACGTTCTCGTTTCACCTTCTTCGCAGGTTGTATGGGCTTCGCTCTTGTTCTTGGGGCAGGCTTGGGTTTTGGGGGAATGCCGAGTTGAGTGACGGCGTCCTTGAGATCAAGCTCCTCCAGGAGTGCGCGGTTGCGCGCGATATTGGCTTCACGCTCAAGTTCACTTGAGTTGAATGCTTAGCACGAGACTGCGCAAAAAATGAAGTGAACTTACTATGCTGTTAACTCAGACATCGTGTATGTCTGGTGTATGTAGGTAATTGAAGACAAGATATCGCTGAGCGCTGAGGTGAGACCAATCAAACGCGTCGCGTGACGTCACGGTCACGCGCTTTGCGTCACGGCCCCTATCTCTTGCTTATCAGACCATGTATTACAGTATGCAATACAAACTCATCCTTCACTGTTACATTTTCGGTACCGACTACAGTACAGAAACTGCGGATACAACAACATGATCATAAAGAGAAATCGCTAAAAGAAACATGTAGGTAAGCCAGGTCGCCAAAATGATGCAAGACCAGGGAAATATAAAGTTGCGCAGGGGGAGCAGATATCGAATAGATATAATAACTGCGGACGTGACAAGAAAGCATGTGCAGGACAGCAATTGTATAGCCCGACAATGTTCTAAGATATCAGATGCAGAGACATTTCAAAAAAGTGGGGCGTCGCAAAACAGAAAAAGAAGAATGCTAGTCGCCGACGAGCGACAAGGAATCACCAGTGAAATGAGGGATACGTCTAGAGGCGGGAAGACCAGCTAACACACCTCGGCTCAAAGGCATCTCCCTCCTACGAAACTTCAAACACAGAAGTTTCAAGAAGCCTAAACTGAGTCGTGTCCTTCGAATTCTCGCTCCATCCTACAATCTCCCTCCAATTGACCGAATTCGCCTCCTTTTCGCCTGCACCTGCGAACAGTCCCACATCATCGTCCGATAACCCCCGGAAGATGAGAAATAGGCGCGTGAAGACGCAGGGGTCGGAGGTAACTGAAATGTCAATTGCGGCGGCTATCTTCGAGGGGGATAGAAAGCGGTAGGCAATGTTTTTGTGGGCTGAAAATGCGGAGATGTTGTTACTATGTGCGTCAATGTCAGTGTCAGGCATGTCAGATGAATGGCATGGGAACACGCACTTGATGAAGTTGGTTCGCGCGTGCATAGACATGCCTAGCTGGTCTAGGACGCTCATAAGGTGGGGCACGAAATCTCGGAAAGACATAGCGTATCCGTTTCGGGGTGCAATAAAATCATTAGGGTCGACCATCGCCGGGTCGGGTCTGCGTAGTATAAGGATCAATGATCCGGGGATGAGAGGCACAGGACTTACACAGCTTCGTAATATAACGACGTCGTAACCATCTCACTCTCAAAATGCTCGAGCGCACCACCAGGGTGAACACGTAGAAAATACTTCACTTTGGTTTCATTAACTGGCTGCGCAGGGGGCCATGTAAGTTCAAGCCTCCATAACGGGTTGACTGAGAGAATGACATCGCAATACTGCTGGGCGGGTGAAAGTATGCTCAGGTGGCATTTGACAGAAGAAGGCTTGGCAGCGGTCGTGAGCTTACTCATGACACGCGAATCGAAGAGCATGTCGGGCGGGACGTCAGGATTGACTATACGGGTGCCTGTGAAGTCAACGGTGTGGTTGCCACCGTCGTGCACTATGTTCAGCTTGCCCCAGAACTGGCCATCGACGACGGTACCGTCTTCCATGCGGGCCATATCGACGTCGTCAGCAGAAGCAACTGTTGTTTCTAGGACCACGTGTTGGCCGGGCACGAGCTCCAGGTTAAACGTGGCAGGCATTTCCGTGACCGGCGGCGGACTGAAGACATCTCAAGCAGTGCACGACTACCTCAAAAATGCACTTACGGTGGTGGCCTATGACACAGTTAGCTTAGACTAGTTTATGATCACGACATCAAACTTACGGTGGTTCATCAGGTGGCGGAGGGGCGTCGCTTACAATCTCCACCCGCAGCCCCTGCACGCCCATTATCGCAATTTGGTACGAATCCTCGCCAGTCAACTACTCATATCTGCCATGAGCTATCCATATCAGAAATAGATCTCGATCACGCACATAGATATAGGGCCCGGAAACCAGCCGCTGGTAATGACGTCAGAAAATAACATCCTACCCGACAGCGCCAACTTACAGAGGCATGAAGGGATGCGAATTCAACAGGAACACGCAGGCCGAAGATGGCATCTGGGGGAGGTTTTGTCCAATCTCTAGCTACCGCTTCGAGTTCCTGTGCAGGAACAAATCAGCCGGAAACGGGCAACGACCACCGCCACTTACGGGGAAACTATTGGGTAGCTGCGGCGAAAGGAAGATGTTACAAGAGAGTGTGAGGGCGAAGGGGAAATGTCCGTACCACTCTGACTGTCTCCATATCCTCGTAGGCAAGTGTGAGGAGTCGCTGTCGTGCAAGCGCCATTTGGGCTTGCCTCTCACGGAACTCGCTTTCCTTGTCTTTTTTCTTGAACTTTCCCCAGAAAGATTGAGAGGGGAGACTGGCGCTGGTTGATCTGCGTGAAGAAAACATTTGAAGGCTAATAATTGGGATATCTGTGGCCTTTTCTTACGCTGGAGAGAGAAGCATAGCTGAAATAACGGAGGGCTGGGGATTAGAGTATGAGGAAAAGAATCATGCCAAACTGAAAAGGGATTTTTGATTATTAGCAGGTCGAGAACACGCGATAGAAACACGAGGCAAGGAGTCAATTGCTGCAAAAGATAGATCAAGTCATCAAGCGCTCAAATCGATCCCAGGACCCGGACTCACGAGAACTTTCTTTAGCCAAGTTTGATGATTATCAATACCCACAGCAGGTAACCCTTGGCCCGACGTCGATACGAGCCTGACAAATGTCTTCCAATGTCAAACCAATCATTCGATAATCACTTCAGATGTGACTCGAGCACGCATCAAGCTGTGTAGATGCCTGGCACGTGGTAACAACACGGAACATGCTCCAAACCGTGCAACCAAACCAAACATCAACTTGAATCATGTTTCGAGCTGTCGTGCGCCAGAAAAATCTAACAAATGCTTCACGCTTCACAGTAAACCACAGGACTTTTGTTTCTACAGTTCTTCTCTCCCGTACTTGGGAAAATGAGACTCTGGTCACTCTGCGTCATGAAGCGAAAACCCGAGGTCTTTCGACGTGAGTCACTTTCGGCTCCTACGCTTTACTTCTTTTGCTTTGTTCTCTTCATCTTATTCGCATTGGAATCCGAACTGATTGTGCTATCAGCAAGGGCAATAAATCTGACATCATAAACCGAATTCAGGTGTATGAGGAATCTAGAGCTCTTCCTTTTTCGCAGCCTACACCCGCCGCATCTCGCAATGCGTCTTCTTCTGCCACTCCACCACAGGCTGTATCCCCGGGCATACCGCCTGCATCCATACCCGCGAGGGCATCAGAGACGCCTGACCTTTTCTTGGTCAGATTGCCCAACCTCTCTCAAGATGAGCCATGCGAACCCGTTCAAGCAGTGAGTATTTCCCCTCTTTCCTTGATCGATAAGGCGGTTCGATTTAAGTTACGGGTCTAACGGTTTTATCCCCCATCGACCATATCGAGTCGTTGTCACATGCAGACTCTTTGATATGACCTTGTATTTTCACATCTGATTATCATCCCCTCAGCCCTTCGTTCCCGATTTTTGGGATTCCTCTAGTCCGAAACCCGAGCCCATAGAGCCTTCTCACCCAAAATTACACGTCGTTTCGGGGTCTGCGACGCATCCTGATGGTGGCCCTACCTACAAGCTTGAAAAGCCTCAGGACGCGGCGGTTATTGAGGAAATGGTGGTTATCGAGCCTGAAGGTCAAACCAAACCCGCGATTGAATCTAGCTTATTCCGTGACTTTGCCAATGATCTTGGATTGCAGCGGAGTTTCCGAGTTGGCGAGACGGTCTCGAATGTGGTGCGAGCTGCCAAGGAGCAAGGGCCTGATGTGCACGCAAAGTCTAGGCCCCTGAACAATGAACAAACAAGAGGAGTTTGGGTCTTGTTCGGTTTACTCGCAGGATCATGGATCGCTGGAGGGTGGGTGAATCGTGATCGGTCGGTGCCTGAAGTGCACAGCACGGAGGAAGGCAAGCACTAGAATCATCTTTGAGTGATATGTATCGCAACATCCGCTTACATAGAGACTCTCCTACTGGTTGTCAGACTTTTAACGTCATGCGTTTTTCTTGAAAATAATGTTCTGATCGTATATTTACTTCGCTGAAGATGGACTATGGATTGCTTCAAGATAATCTGCCCCATTCATTTTCTCTGATGAACCTTCGAACCACAATATGTTTGACAGGTCTAGTCTCATGAAGTCCAAGTCGGACCAATCAAAGGGAGGCAGGTATTCCTCCGTGTTCCGCATCGTTTATTTCAGGCCACATTCGGCCATGCGTCAACCGCGAGGCAGAGAATGCATCATTGCTCAACTATCAAGATGTTGAAAAGACTAGTTAGTAAGTTATCTCCGTCTTAATATATTCATTTGCCTATTGGTCCGTCTAGGGGAAACTACTCTAACATGCTAGCACTGCTGCACGCAATTCGATGAAGAACATGACGGACAACCCGCTAGTAGGAGTAAATAAACGACCCTTTTCAACACGTTGCCGATATTGCTGCTAGTTGGTTCGTTAGATCTGTATCCATCATGGGTCTTCCTTTGTCCGATATACCCTCGGGACAGAACTCAGTAGTTCCGGCCGTTGGGCATTCATGTCATAGTATTTTGGGCCACTCCTTTTTTGCTCTAGTCGACCGGTCTCAACGAGGGGCCTGCTACCGCCACGGCTGCATGCCAGTCGATAAGGCAGGGGGCAGACCAGCACAAAAAGAAGATGAACCGTTCGATGCGAGGCTCCGGTGAGGCTAATGTTACAATGAGTTCGGGAAACTAGTCACTGTTCTATGGATCATGAGTAATGGGATAAAAACATGTTAACGAGAAGGTGATTCCATGATCAGCGGAGTGGCACTCCTTTTACAAAAGTCATGTCTGCACGGTTCAAAAAGCAAAAGAGAAGAATAGCCCACCGCGAGGGTCGAACTCGCAGCCTTCAGATTACGTCAGATAGAACCGACAGTCGTAAAAGTCTGACGCTCTATCCGATTGAGCTAGGCGGGCGCCCGAAAAGCAACCTTCCTATTCCAACAAGAGCGCCACAGCGCTTCAAACTCCGCCTGGTTGGCGCGCGCTTGGTATAAAGCGCGACGCGTCTTCGTAGGGGCATTTACGTGTTTTCTGTGTTTTTCTTTCCCTTTACGTTGCTTTGAGAAAGTATGCCGGTCAAGGTATCTTCGTTAGTCAATGCTTGAGCTTACAACTCGCTCACCTTTGACGTAGCCTAACTCAGTTGCCTCCAAGGCGCCCGCTTCCAAAGCTGCTAAAGCACCCGTGTCGTCAGCGGGACAGCAGAAAGCAGCTAGGAAGGCACCTTCTAAAGAAGATGGGGACATGAAAAAGAAGCGCAAGAAGGCAAGGAGGGAGACGTACAGCAGTTATATTTACAAGGGTGCGTGTTCGCCCATTCGCTTTCTCTTGCATTGCGATGTAATAACTGGCTAACGCCTTTGCTCTTTTAGTGCTAAGGCAGGTCCACCCCGATACTGGTATATCGAATAAGGGAATGGGCGTTTTGAATTCATTCGTGAACGACCTGTTCGAAAGGATCGCCACGGAAGCAAGCAGTACGTCATTTTGGTCGGTTTTGTTTTGTTTTGGCAGTGACTGATGCCTTCCCATTGTGCAGAGCTCGCATCTTATACGAAGAAATCTACTATCTCCTCGCGCGAGATTCAGACAGCAGTGAGACTCATTCTTCCTGGAGAGCTCGCGAAGCATGCGATTAGTGAGGGAACGAAGAGTGTTACAAGTGCGTGTTCTTTTCCCTTGTGGGTGCAAACGATAACATTTGTTACCGGACAGAATTCTCTGCTGCCAGATAAGACGTGCAGTCACAAGCCACGGCAGTGAGGAGAGCCGAGTCCGACCTTTTGCATATTAAGCATGGTATGGATCTATTAAATATGTAGCATAGTCCATCTCGTAGATATTATACATACCCTCTTAGTAGCAGTAGCATATCCCTAACATGATGCATAATCGTTTCCAAGAACCTAGAAACCTGCAGGATTCATGAGTCGCGTAACGGAGAGGCTACAGAAGGGAAAAGACACGCACCATATTTATTTCCCGCCTCTTTCCTATTTCTACGTGCTTGTGCGATCTTCTCCTCCAGTGCCTCCCGGTTGTGGTAAGCATCTGTGAGGAGGGTTGTCAATTGGTGCCGTGAGCGGGCTGTGGAACCTAGTTTTGCGCCCTGTAGAGAGTAGTATCATGAGGACTAGTCTACCACACAGCGGAAACATCAAGAACAGCATACAGACCTGTACGTTCATCCGTGGTTTTTCTGGCTCCCCGGTCTTAACGCCCGTAAGAGCCTTCCTGTCCTCCCTCTCCTTTATCTCTTTCCGTGCTTTCTCCATCTCTGTCTGCATGTTGACCTCCGCTGCTTGTTCTGCCTCTCTCTCCACTTCACCTTTCTCGAGCGCGCGGACATGAGCATCATATTCTTTCTGCCACTTATTGACGCATGTGGCGTAGTATGCCTGGTCGTAAGCGGCCCAAGCACCGGAGGGGAGGAGATAGTATCCCGGGTAGGGATCAGTAGGTGTTGGAGGTGGGGGGGAGAACGAGGCCACCTCAGGAGCAGATGAGACGGTTGGTGTGGATGTGCTGGGTGTCGTGGATATAAAGGGCACTGTAGAATTAGGTCTCGAAGAGGTACCTGCAGGGGATTAGGGTGAGAAACGCAGAGTCGCAGGGAACACACCAATAGAGAAGAAGTTCACAGCGGGTGCCTTTGACAGTGCTTGAGGCTTGCAGTCCTCACGATCTAGGTCGACGTTGGATTTGCCCTTCTTGAGTGAAGGGGGTAGGAAAGACGTGGATGCATCCTCGCCATCTCCTTCGCCATCTTCCTGTACGCTCACTGGTGCATGGAACAATAGCCCTGGACCATTTCCGCCCCCAAGTACGCGTTCAGCCTTCTTTGATTTGAAGGGCAGAGGCTGGGTAGGCGCGGGTAGCATGTTAAGAAGGGATGATGCGCCTGCCCCTTTGCTAGATGTGATTCGGGATTTCTTGGCTGGTGGTCGGTCGTCTGTATCAGAGTCATTGGAAAGAAGTGAGGGGAGCGTGATTTCTATCTTCTTTGTGCGTTTTGTTTTGGCTGGTGTTGGAAGTGAGACACTTAATGATTTGGGCGGTGGGAGAGAGAGACCAGAGGGTTTCGACAATGCTGGTAATGGTGCTTTAGGCAACGATGCAGTGGACGGCACTTCGTTTTCACTGTCGACATCGCTGCCGTAGTCTTCTATGCCTAGCATACTGTCTTGCTCGTCGTGGAGAGCGATGAGCAAGTGTTGATGTTTGTTTGTATCACTTCCTCCTTAGATCCAAAGAGTATCGTATTAAGGACCTCGAGTAATACGCTTAGGCAAGGATGGCGTCGCCTGCACCACGAAAAACGCACAGATACGCTACGCCGCGTCAATCAGAGACGCCGCCTAGACAGCGCCGCATGGTCAGTGCACGCCCCGCAGGTACACCCTCCAGGCGCACCGAGGACATCGCTGTGGTACAAGACGTTATGGACATTGACGACGTGCAAATGTATAATGAACGTGTGCTAGGGTCAGGGAGGGAGACCATCTACGCGCGCACGGACGAGATCAGCGTTGCTTTCCATGCTGCACTCCCGTTTGAAGTCAGACGCGAGTTAAAGGGTGCTGGTGCGTCTATTCTACTCAACTCAACTCATCCAAGCGCTGAAAACAAGGCTCGCCATACACAGATTTCTATTCTCAATCTTGGACCGGTGCAGTGGATGCCATCACGGGGTATGCCCTTGCCGCGTCCTCGAACACCTGCTTCGTCTGGCATCACCCCAAACCGACTACATGCTACATCCTCCCGTGTCCACCTTCCTCTCAAGATTATGCACAGCCGCTATCTGCACCATTCCATGCTCTCGTCCCTTCCAGGTCACGCTCAGAACCTGGTCTTGTTCTTCTTTCCATCCGCGGTGACATCCGTTTCTGGGACAGCATAACCAGCGGTCTAGCAGGCGGCGGCAGCTTCGAAAGCATCAATCTCGAACTCGGAGAGGGGGAATATACGTCTGGATTACTTAGGGTTGATGTATGTGCCTCAGCACGATCATGTCTTTTGTGTTGACGTACACTTGCAGGGTCAAATTTACATTGCGTCTACCTCCCATGGACGTCTATTCAGGCTCACGCTCACATCTCAAAGCGGGCGGCATACACTCTCAGCAAGGCTCTTTGCACCGCCACCCGCACCTGGGCTCTCTTTTGCGCGTCTTCTCTGGTCCACACCTGCTCCCCAGCCTACATTGGGGAATATATCTGCTCTTGCTCTTGGTTCTGGTAGTGGTGAGGTCGGAAGGGGTATAGCAGCGGATAAGGAACTATGGACGCTCAGCGAAACCCGCGTGCAGAGGTGGAGCTTGAATAAGGAGGTGTTACTGAGCGAAGTCGATGTCCGAGAGGCAGTAGGGAACGTGGAGGATCTGGAGGGTGTTGATTTTGGCGTGGAGAGGTGCGTTTTGATCACGTTGTGTTAAGATTTTAGCTAATTTCCGCATCTACAGCGATGGGACGCTCGTTGTCCTCGTCTCATACGCCGGGTCCGAGCAAGAGACAGCTGCGATGGCGCTTGACCAGTACGGCGGGTTTGGTATGGGCGTACCGGTACCGAGGAGGATATATGCGCTCGTCAGACTTAGTGCTAGCACGAAGCGGGGTGAGGTGGCGAAGTTTGAGGGAGGTGGAGATGGAGGTGTGATAGAGGGCATAGGCGGAGGCATGAAGGTAGATCGTGTTACGGGAGTGCCATATGCTACGGTGGGACTCTATCCTGGCTCTGCATGAGATCTAGCTAAAAGGCGTGCTTATAGACAGCCGCATCGGCACCCTCGCATCCTCGTCTGACACTCCTCGGGGGAGGTGCAGTTGTGGCGATCAGATTTGTAGATGTGGTCGTGTTTTGTGCTCGGGGTACGATCTCGTCTCAGCTTGCCATAATTCAACGAACAACTCTGACCTCCTTCTGGCATAGACTCTCCCTACCAGGATCGTCTCACCCTAAAAGCCCCCAACACAGATCAGATACTCGGACTAGGTGTGCTCCCACCAACCCAACCTCCAATGCACTCTTTTCCTGCAGAACAGGAACAAGGGGAAGGAGCGGGGCCCGAGGACGTGCTCATACTAACAGCCGGCGTGCTCATGCGTGCTCGAGTGGATTTGGGGAGGGTCAAAACATTCGATGAGGCGTAAGCCCTGCTCCTCTCCCTCTATTTATTTACTCCGTTTTCTGATGACTGAGCCAATTTGGCTCCACAGAACCGGCCGCGCGATCCTCATAAGAGCACTCCTCACACAAGCCATACTTTACGGAAGCAACTCTGACAACCCCTTACATTTCTCGTTCCCGCCCGAGGTCGATCCAGAGGCGCTCATGACAGGTGCAGAGGGGTTAAGCAGGGCCGTCCTCGAGAGTGGTACGTGCATCTTATTCTCGCGGCCATTCTGAAAACGCTGATGTCTCTTGCTATGATTTCTCTCGGTGATTTTCATCATTGGCATGACACCTTTTATTCCAACCGAAAAGACCCAGAGATCATCCGCCCAAACCATGACCTCACCTCTCAACTCACCTCTCGAAAAGATAGGCTTAGCTGGCTCATACGTTTCATCAACGACAATGCAGCACTCGGGAAGATGTCGCAGCGCAGCCGCCAGCGTCTTGCTACGGATGCAGAAAAGCTTTATGCGTGTCATCAGCTTTGGTTGAAGATGAATGAACATTTAGAGTGCGTCTTCACTTTACTTCTTCTTTTGTTTACTCCTCTGACTATATCCAAACAGCGCTGGGGCCTCCCACTCCCTCGTTACTGATGCCATTCACGCATTCACAGCCGCCCACCCTCTTTTACACCCCTCCGCTTCGCACGATATCATCCGGGACTTCTTCAGGTACAGAGTAGCAGAGATTGGCCGGCTGATTCCGTTCATGGTGGAACGGGTTGAGAGGGCTGGAGAAGGAGCTATGAGAGAGGTTGGAGGGGCTGTTGTTGTGAGTTTTTATTCTCTCGCTCTCACATATCTTGTACGCGTTCGGAATAGTCCTGATGTGGGCTCTAGACGATTCTGCAAGCAGGGCTCTCGTATAGAGCCTATAATCTTGCTGTATATGGTGTCGAGTTGCCTATGATCAAGCCGTGGACGAGCCGCCCGAGTGCTATCGATGGTGTGTTGAAGCTTGTCGATACAGCTACGAGGTGCGTAGATTTGAAATGCGTTTATAATATGTATCGTGACTCTCCTTTGCTTTGCTGTAGGTTCGCGCTCGACCCGAGCAAAGCAAACACTAAAAGCGCATCGAGAGAACTTCTCCCGGAACTCGCGACAGTGTTTTTCGCATGTGTGCAAGAAAGATTGGATTGGCTCGACAGGCAAGTCGCTTGTCTTAATACATAGCCCGAGAGAGAAGAAGGTTAATCGACGCATAGCCCCATAGCAGCAGACGAACCTGGTTCCGAGAGGGACCACATAGAGCTCAAAGAACGCTTCGACCAACTCCGTCCCGAGATCCTCGAAACTCTCCGTACGCTTTTTCTACTTTTGATCTTCCCGCTTTCATTTTCCTAACTACCCCATGAAATTGCAGGAGTGACCTCCCACCTCCCAAACGCTCTCACCCTCGCCGCATCCCACGCCGACTTCCGCTCTCTCGCTGCACTGTTACACCAAGACACCGTCTACCCGCCCTCTTCCAATCCGCACGCACACACGATCGAAGAGTATGTTGATCGCTTCGGAGGAATGTTTGCGAGGGAGGTGGTACGGTGGTGTATGGTGCATGGGGAAGCGAGGGTGGTCTTTGCGATGGAGGAGAGTGGGAGGGGTGAGTGGGGGAAGTATATGGATGAGTACTGGGCAGAGGAGGAGGGGCAGGGAGGCAAATGCGATGCGGTGGCGTGGTTGAGGGATTTGGGACAGGGGCGGTGGAGTGTTGCTGGCACAAGGTTGTCGAGAGAGGCGAAGGGCGCTGGGGACGTGGGTGTGAAGCATGTGAGTGATTTTGGATTTCGGTGCTTGGATTGGGGCAGGTATTGATCGGTGTGCGTTGTAGTTTATGCTTAGTGTGGGCAAGCTTGCACATTTGGCGCAGATGCAGGAGGGTGGGGATGCGGATGAATCTGTATTGGATGGTACATCTGTTCAGTTTCTTTTCGTACCGATGTGCTTGACTAAATGCCGTCTAGCGTTCCATGATAGCTTGGATTTTGTATCGGTGCAGGAGAAAATGCTTCAGGAATTCCGGGAAGCTGCCAGCAGTTTGCGGGGCAAACAAAAACAGAGCCTGGACGCGCAAGTGGATGCAGTAATAAAGGTGAAAGGGACGAGACTGAGAGCAGAACGGAGACACGGGCTGCTTGGGGTGCGTGGATTTCTATTGTTTCTCTTGATTCGTGTTGCTGATTTCCATGAGCAGATAATGAAGATTTTTGTGAGGCAAGTGCTCCAGGGCAAGGCGCTCAGCTTGGAAGATGCGGTGGACGTGCTCACACTGCAAGATAATGTGGAGGGCGTAGAGAATTATGCTACTGCGCTGCACTTGCTTGCGCATGCCCAGGTAGGTTGCGCTTATGATGGCTTTTTTTGTCACTGGAATGACAATTATCATACAAGGATATTCCAGACGCAAGGAGACAATCCTCATTCAGAAGAGTGTGGTGTAGGATATACAATCACGATGAGTATGTTTCATTTCCCTATCCCATTTACCAGCTTTAATGGTCACTTCAGCTGGGACTCTATCCGTGAAACTGCCAACATCACTGACGCACAACTAACCTCCCGCTTCCGCGCAACCGCGCTTTACACCACATTCAACGTTATTCTTCCCTCGCCCCAATTATGTCAAATACCAGGTGTCGACCTTGACACGGGCGAATGCTTGCCGGTGCCTTTGATGCCTGAAATCAAGTCGCGTTTCCCAGGCATACAGGAGGACATGGTGGGTGACCTAGCGAGAGATTACAGAGCCGAGAGCTCAGGAGTCGAAGGACTGAAACTGGGAGACGTGTATCATCGTGTTAGGGAGCTGGTGATGCTGGACCTGGGGTACACAAGAGAGGGATAGGGTAGTATCGTACGAGTCCCGCAGTTGCAAAATCTATACGAATTATAGAAATCTCCAACTTGCTAGCCTCTTCTTTACCCTCTGAAATTCGACTTTAGCAGAAAGCGAGAGATCCTCGAACGTCCGTTTCCTGAGCTCTACGGCATACTCGTCCTGGCGCCCCCGTTCCTGAACCACCCACTTCTTGTAAAAGTCAGACAAGGCGTGTTCGTGTGCTTCGGTAGGTGCATTAGGCGGGAGGGCAGCGAGGACCGAGGATTTGGCAGCCTCGAAGCGGATGTTACTCTGGTAGTGATCGATTCGAATCGTTGGTTCTGGATCACGATAATGCAGAACATACCTCTGCCCAGTATGCGTGGTTGAACGCGTCGAGCTGTTCTCGATGGAGTTTCCACTGTAGCTCGTGGTCTAACGTATCATCTGAGAATTCTCTGAGGGAGTATGGGTGCTGTTTAGACTCGGAAGGGGAGGATGAAGAGATAGCGGTGGTGTATATGATAGGCCGGAGGTTGGAAGCTGGGTCTGGAAGCCCGATGAAATTCAATGATGGTCTAGACGTGTGGATATAGCGTTTGTGTGCGGAAAGGTGAGCGAGAAGTTCGAGATATACGTGGTGACATGCTATGTAGTGGCTTGAGACAAAGCTTACTCCCTTACATTGGCGCATATTTCGTTACAGGTTTCAATTCTCGTTCGTCCAACGCATATCGGAAAGAACGATGGTCTGGCGCATGGCGCAGGTACCAGGGACACTTTCCCCGGCTACCTCCAATACATACGTGTCGAAGTTCTAGAGACAGTCAGACAGTACTACTAGTCGCCCGGTTACCAATTCCAGAATTTCCAGTGGTCCAATGGCTGCATACCAGACTTCATACCGGTATGATTGCAAGGGTAAAAATACAATTGATAAAAAACATAGTGATGTCAAAAAATACTTAGAAGACCGTAGTTGAAACGTAGGTAGAACAAAAAACGCAACATCAACCCAGACAAGTTGCAACCGGAGAAATGGCGAAAAGCGAATAGCAAAACACTGGACTACGAAACACGGCTAATTTAAAATTTTAGATGAGTTAGAGCCATCAACAGCCGCAGCTCGCTTGATTGCTCGCTTTTCTTGCTCCATTGCGAAAGCGTCGCTGAGACTGTACCGCCGCTGGGCAATACTTGAAGCGCGTTCCCGGATGCCGGGGAACGACCTTCGCACAACGGCGTCTAGCTGAGGCCAAATCTCGTCCGATGTCTCGCCTTGCAAAGTGACAAGTCGTGCCGACCTGGGCGATGCGTAATATGCGAGCAGGGGCGACGTGGAATCGTAAAATTGCTTTGAGACGGCGAGAGAATACCTCCTGAATAATCATCCATCGGAACTTATTAACCAAACATTTAGGCTTTGAATCCACGTACAGGGTTATCATCAGGTCGCCTCGTCAAGGGTTCACCTGTCTCATCATCAAAGCCATCCACTTTGGGTCGGTTGTATGTCATGTTGTACACACGGCCAGATGGGAGATGAACCCAGCGGTCAGATATCCGACTCAGGATTACATTGTCTGCGACATCCAAATTGACTACAAGACTTAGTGGGGCATTCTGGACCCTGAGGCCGTAGTCAGTACGCAGGGCCCGACATCACAAAATTAAGATTACGAACTGGAGATGAGCATCCAGCAGTTTACCTTGACCTAACGTTCGTGGAAAACCGTCCAAAATCCAATGCTGCGAAAACGGAGCACTAATTTAGGCCCGTAACCATGTCCAAGGGAATCATGACAGACTAACCCTATTGTTGAGTGACTCAAGTTTACTCGCGACAACTTTTAGCATGACGTCATCGGGAAGTAAGTTTCCCTGTGCAACAATTTCCTCTGCTTGTCTGCCAATTTCCGTTCTAATGCCATGACATGCAAGGGTCAGCACCGCAGCACCATGCGCCGTAGTCACATATATGACACGTGTAAATTAACCTCACCTCTCTGCAATGTGCTGCCGCAAAAGGTCTCCAGTGGAGAGGGAGAGTATGTCATACTTCTTCACGAGGCGAGCTGAGAGTGTTCCCTTGCCAGCACCGGGTTTACCGAACATGAGCATACGCAAGACCTTGCCGTCATTTTGCTCCGTTGAGCGCAAATTATTGAGATAGAATGGGAGTGCTTTCGAAACTGACACAGAATGGGAGATAGGGCGCGCAGTTGAAGTGGGGGCGATTCGTATCGACGGTGCGCGAGCGAATAGAAAGGTCATGAGGAGGGAGGCGAGTAGGATTATAGACTTAATGCTAGGTATATATTCCGTTGGGAGGTATCGAATGATGTGTTTTATTTAATGTCGTCCGATACGGTTTGGATGATTAATTTTGTTTCGTTGGGGATAGGTACGCGAATAGGCGCGTCAGTTACAATGCTTGCGAGATACGAATAAGCGCTTTTTCGCTTCACCAACAGGCTCCAAGTTGAAAACTGCGCAACAGCAAGTTGAAGGGAGTACTAGAATGGTGGGGTGTTACGTGGTGATGGGGAGAAGGTGGGGAAGAAGCCTGGATCCCTATTTCAATGACTTTAAGGAGACTTTGTTGTCAGGTGTCATACCAAAGTAAGTAATCGCAAATCACGCAATTGAGTCTAGACTTGATACACGTTGGCAGTACTTTGTCGACGAGTCACCATGAACCTCAACGACGTCCCCCCCAGTGGTTCCAATCGCTCAGTAGAGATGGCATATCTTGCCCCTCGTTAATGCCGAGTCTTAGCTTGACCTGCTATAACCGCTCACATGTCTATCTCGTAACCAACTGTGATTCTGCTAGTGGCTGGTCACGTTCTCTCACACCAAATGCATGTGATCCATGAGCGCTTGAGCTCAATTGCGCCCGATTACGAGCTATTGACGAGCAGTGTGCTTTCCTGGTACGGCGATGATGACTGTTTCAAGAGTTTCAGACTTACAATTGCAAAATAGTTATCAGTATACAGATGCGGCCAATCCAGGTTCCAGGAATCCCGTACCTGGCTTGGAGACCTCGTCATGAGTTAAGTGCCGGACCTTTTCAAATCCGAAGTCCGGCGTCTCTTGTGCGTGGGACCTCAAGTGGGGGTGGAGGGGTTGAATTTACGAAGGTGTGTCAGCGAACCCGTGAAGCTCTACTTATCATCCAAATCATTGGACAGTGATAAGTAGAAGTAGAGCGCTGAACGTTAACTTTGATCGCAATAGTGGGAATATGCAATCATATCTCCGGTCGAGATGTCGTGTTATGCATATCCATGAGTCCAATAATAACAGTATACCGCAGGAGTACGTCTTCTTCTTGATCAATGACCGAGGTACAAAGTTTTCAGACGAGGTTCGGGCGTGAGGCAATATCGCCTCTTGGTGCATTTATTTCCGAACGAGTGTTACCAAGATAACCGTCTTACTCGGATTATCAAGTACTTCTAGTCGCTGGAAGACTGCCACAATACTATATCCCCCGGAAGCCTCGATCGAGCCAAGTCGAGTCATTAATATTTTTATATCCACTAAAACACCCAAGTGCTATCGATTTGCATGAAGGTAAGTTCCTTGATCAGTCCAAGTTCTCTACACCAAACCGGTATATAATCGGTTGTCCAAGAATTCACTACAAACCAGTATATAACCGGTTGTCCAAGAATTCACTACAAGAAAACAAAATGATGTACAGTATAACATGGGGACTTGCAAGGTATACGCCGATGTAGCATTCTAGGTGTTTGCGGTCGACTCCACTGATCCCGTCTGGGACAAACCGAGCAGCTGGCGCATCTCGCGCACACCAACAACACCACGTATCTCCTTAGCTGGATCCAAGGAAATACAGATGGCCTCCCCCAAGTGATCGACATTGATTGGCGGAATCGAGAACAAGTTCGCCATGGAAGTCAGGGCGGAAGGCGTTTTTTCGGTGGCATTGGGGAATACCGACGTACCTAACCACCGAAGAACGGAAGCAGGCATCGGGATATACGATGGCACTGCGCTATGGATCCGTGATGATACATCGAATATCGTAGCTGGAATAACTGTCATTGGTCGGATATGCGGATGGTATATTAAACCTGGCATGGCTTGTCATTCACTAAATCGAATTATGGATGCGATATACTTACTGGGGCGGATATACACCCCCTTGTATTGAGGATGATCTTGGACAATTTCTTCAATTCGCTTCTCAGCCTCTCGTTTCGTTTCGAGATAGCGCACGGAGACGACAGGTCGGTTGATGTCCTCCGCGGAGACGTAGACGAAGGGACGAACACGTGTAAGTCCGGATATAGGCTTGCTCGCGACGAATGCTTCACACACACGCACGGCTGACAACGCGTGAACACCGCGCCCAGTAAATCAAGGCCGTTCAGGATCACGCACCTGATTCATAATTGAGGATATCGTAAGCGCTCCGTTGACCTTCTGCTGATGGACCACTGCCCTGGCCCGCAAAGAATTTGATAAAGCCAATTATATCACCTTCTTGTATCCTCTGCTTGTACTGCGTATTGTCGAGAAGCGTACCAACGGTATGGACAACGGCATCAACACTGGGGAGGATGTCCGCATATGACTCCGGATTCAAGGCGTCGGCTTTCCGCCATTCTACCTAATGGGGTTTGAGTGGACTTGTGCGGTTGGGAGGGGGACACGAGGCGCGTACCCTTTCCACCCATGCAGGGGTATGACCTTGTGGGGTTTTGTAAGGTTTTCCGGAAGAGCTGTCACGCCATGGATGTCAGAATTGTAATACTCTCTGCGCAAATGACTTACCTTATGCTAGTGACCTCCATTCCTCGGGCAAGAGCCATCTTACAAACCGCGGAGCCTGGAAGTCATAAATGATTTAATACGACATAAAGAGTTAGAAGCCGCTCATACCAACGAAACCATTGCCACCGACAACTAGAATTTTTTGAGCAAGAGACGACATGGAGTCTAGTTTAGATCAACGAGGCTACAACGAGGCAATGTTTGATACTTGGCTGTTGACGCGTCAACCAAACTGTTAAGCCTGCAAAGCCTATATAAGGGGGAATTTGCAACTATTTGGTAAGTGTTTCATGCTGGATAGCTATGACATATTATGCGTCCGTGGTTCGTGCCCGAGTGTATGCCCGGCCTCCTGACAGTGATCAAATTTGCAAAGCCTAGTACTAGACATGTATAGCCTTCCTAATGCTTTTCAAATCTGTTCACACCCAGCCCTCATGATGCAGCAGTGAAACTTCTTCTTGTTTGTCGTTGCTTGTAGACAATACCTTAATATTGCTATGTTTTTGGAATCTATGTTTTACACTGGACGAGTGATGATCCCATGGTGTCTGGCTGTGCAGATATTGTAACACATGCACACAAGAGATTTAGTACAAGTTTCGAGCACCGTATGATATCGACCATCATGGATATGCGATGACGTCGTCACTGATTTAAGCGCGTTGTTCCGGCTCGCCGATCAAATTTCAAATATGGATACCTACAGCGTATTTTAAATCCTCGTGCCGCCGTGAAACGTCACGTCCTCCTCGCCGACCGAACAAATAATAACGGGTGACATTCGATTTCCGCAGCATCTAGACTCTAGAATAATTCAAACCTTAATTAAAAGTCGGTGTGTCCGAGTCGCCTCGTACCTTGTCACGTTCAATTTAAAAATGCTTTCTTAACTGCAAGTCAATTCTAATGAAGTGTCAAAAGGCATGTGTTACCACATAATAACGGTGTTTGAAAGGCGTGTCTAGAACATGTTTTGAACACCATTTCAGGGGGGGCCTGTCGACCCCTTCTAGGTATCTAAAACTTGGACATGCGGACTTGCAAAACACTGACGAGTGACGTGGCACGTCGGCACGAGGACATAGATTTAAATTTAGAACGACGTTTAGACCCGAGGCTTGCCATGACGCTGCCGGGAAGTCACCATCATGTGACACTGCTCGGATACCAGACGCTGCCGACATCATACTCCTATCTCCATGAGGAACAACTATTAGGGAGCATTGAAATTTTGGAACGTTGCCACCGTGATCTGATGTCGAAGATCATCATCCACAACCTTCGACAATACAGAAGACAAGGTCCTAATAATAAGTTGTAAATCGACACGCCGTCGCTAAAGTTCAGCAGCGTTGTATAAACCAGGACTTCCCTTTGTTTTTTTAGTACAGTGGCAACGGCGTCGATCAGATGATTTAATATCTATCTTATTGCGCGCTGCGCTGTCTATGTTAATATGACATGACCAAGCATCCAACACTACTGTAGCTAGCTATCAACAATGTATGGAACATATATTGCATGCCCTGAATACAATAAAGACCCGATAACAAAAGAAATTCGTGAATATGCGTGATTCCGAGTGATTGCAAAGCCATATAAACATGAGCGAACAATAAACATGTGTTGCCAGTGGAGGGAATGGGCATTTGATCGTGGCCGTGGAGACCAAGAGCCACCAGGGTCACTGGTCTCCTGAATGCCAAGGTCAGCTACCGCGCTCCAACGGGACTAGCCCGTCAAAACAAACAACGCATCAATGCGACAAAGAAAGGACTGAAAACAGTGAACGACGCAAGGGGCAACCAGTGCTTGCCAAGGCACGACTAGGTAAAACTCCACGTAACTATTAAGGGTCAGGTCAGCCAGGAACATTAAGGTAAATCCGACAAGACGTACTGGGAATATCGCCGACGGAGAGGCTGTCAAGAGCTTCAAAGGCAGCAACTGAGAGGTCGATGGAGTTTTCATTTGCACAAGTCGGGCAATCATCAGCAATGGTTACCGTGACGGTGTTGCCATTGTCAGTGTTTGTAATTGTAACCTGTTGGCCACAAAGAGGGGAAGTATTGCCAGAGTTGCCATAACGGGTCTGATCGATAGCGCAGATGAAGTCAGAATCGGAGTGTACTGTTCCGCATGCACCTGCGACGCCGTTCTGGTAGAAGTAAGTTGCACTGTAATGCAAATTTGAGTATTTGAGTGATGATAAGACAAAAGATATTTACAATCCGCCATAGTTGAGACTGCTGTCGCTAGAACCAGTCGATGGCGCGGTCGTCGATGCTACGGCAGAGGAGGTGTACGTGGGAGTGTGCGATGTAGTCGGAGGAGGGGCGACGTTCACGGGGGGCGAACTACTGCTCGTAGTGGTGGGAGCAGGGGCAACGCTCACGGTGGGTGAACTACTGCTCGTAGTGGGCGCAGGAGTAAAGTTCACAGTGGTGCTGCTCGTGAAGGACGTAGAAGCAGAAGCTGTTGGAGTCGATGAGGGACCATCGTCACAACCATCATCAGTCCCACCAGTCGATACAAGTTCACCATTGCTGCAGGTGGAGCCAGAGGGCAACTGGCACTCAGCGGGAAGAGCGCTAGCGCTCTCGTTAGCCTAAATGGATGATGAGCTAAATCAATACAAGACATGCAACGTAACACAAACCGCAAGGGGGTGGCAGCAAGCGGAAAAGAATGGCGTGTTGTGCTGATTTTGACACCCGATTGCGATATACCTGCAATGGTAGGTGTCATAGGGCTAAAAAGTGACATCAGGAGACAAGGTCGTAATCACAGGGGATAGATTGACAAACCTCAAGAGCTGCGGTGTCCCAGCCTTGGGGGGCGGTCGCGCGAGGAACGGCGCGCGCAGATACTGCAGACGTAGCAATGAGGGACAGGACAACAGTTGCAAATGCGGAGATCATGTCGAATATTATGATCTAAATAGAAGAAAAGAGTGAAGATGTGGAGAGAGCGAGGGTGAAGACGAGTTGTTCGTGATCAACGAGTGACAGGACACTTGCAAAGGTCCAACTATTTAAGTCAAAAAATGGTGTTAGCACGCACGAACAGCATGAGTCGGTTGCGAGGAACCGACCTTGTGAAAAAGTGCAAGGAATGCGTTTACCTGACGGTAATTGAAGGGAGAAAGAAAGTGGTAGGAGGAGAGACGCGGTTATTACTTCCGAATAAGTCTTTCAGACTTTATCCCTTGTATATCCAGATTAATGGAATTCATTTCCCACGTCATGATCGCAAGGTAAAACGTTGTCCTCCATTGTACTGTACATGCCGAAAATTGCACATGTGTGCAATCACCATATTTTTATTGTTTCACACTAATATGGAGCCTTGCATATTATGGATGGACAACTCCAGGCCTAGGCTTGACTGAGCTCGAGGCTCAACTTGTGGTGTAACCACATAGCATCCAATTAGTAACGAAATCTTGCTGTAAGATGATCTTTTCATTGGCAGAAAATTTTCTGATTACTTCAGCCCCGCAGCAGTGCACGGCTACGCAGTGCCAAGTTGGCCGCTTAAATGTCCACGAATCAGAAGTTCCTGGGGCGGGCATGTTGCAAGTCAATGATCGAATAATAATAATAATTACATTAAAAAATAATAATTCTGAAAAAGGGGATTATACCGGCATATTCCGATACCGGCTAGTGTCAGCTTCTGCACAGTCTCTACGACGGACGATTACTTTCAGGAACATAGCTAAAGCGAAGTAGCTACACCAGCAAAAAATCTCTCAAGTCATGAGTGCGTTTTCATTGAAAATTCGTAACTATCCCCTAACTTGAATTCATCCAAGGCGACTTCACTGAAAACCCCTTTGCCTCGAGCCATTCGCTTGACACGAATCCCTTTGAGGACCCATCATCAAAGCAGGCTGCCCAACACGACGCCCATTTTGAGGATATCAGCAGACGAGAACGAGACTTGGAAAGACGTGAGCGCGAACTGAACCAGAGAGCAGAGCATATTCGTACCCATGGACGCAGCAATTGGCCACCATGTAGGAGCCAGACTGCGCATTTCATTGCAACGTATACTCATGCTCCATACCAGTTTATCCCCTTATTTACCATGCCATCTCCGAAGAGATTCCTGAGGCTTCAAGACCTTTGATCACTCGCTTGTACCAGCTTTGGCTTGTCCTTTTGGGGACCCTAATCGTAAACATGGTGGCTTGTATATTTCTTCTAATTGCTGGTTCAAGCGACGGCGGAAAGGACCTCGGTGGAAGTATAGGGTGAGCAAGGTTCTAGTGTGTATTCTCTTCTTCGCTCAATGAGGCGTTAGATACTTGTTCATTATCGCGCCTCTATCGTTCTTGTTGTGGTATAGGTAAGGCATGTATGCCATGTGAGGGTCTCAGAAATTTACACCTCATTAGGCCCATATATAATGGTTATATGAAGGTCAGCGTCATTGCAACATCCTACACGCATGTTCTCAAATTGACACGTCATGCAGGAGCAAGCGCTTTACTATTGTCCGTCGAACTAAACTTCGATCCTCTCGATCACGCTAAGCTGCATTTGACTTTCATAGACTTCTATTTCTTCTTTGGTGGCTTCCACCTTCTCTTCAGTGTTTACATGTGCGTGTACGCCTCGCAAATCACGACTGTCAAGCTGAATGTGTTTTGATTCTGCGCAGGATCATCGGGATTCCCAGTACAGGGTCTGCAGGGCTTATTCAGATGATTCAGATGTACGCGCAAGGCCATTGGGCCGCTGGCATTCTTGGCACAATCGCTACAGTTGGCTGGACAGTGCAAGGATTAGGGAATGCCTTCTATTACCGTCAGGTACGTTGCTCCGTGCACAGTCTGCGCAGTTGCGGCATGACTAACCCGGATACTTGTAGATATGGAACCACCACTCAGCTGCCGGACACACCATGGACAAGGTAATTTACTTTGACATACGTATGCTAGGTTTAGGGCGCTGATGCCGTCCTGCAGGCTAAAGCAGAGCTGGCTTCTCATGGCGCGAAGGCTTATTTCACGCGAGGCTGATTATGACGCTTCCTTCTCGAATAGTACTTACCTGGTCATGTGGCAAATTCGTGCATGTACTTACATTTACCTCTCCGATCACGAACTCTTGTACGAATCTGAGCTATGATCACTGCACAATGGACAGTCTTGCATGATCGCATGGAACAATGGCGTGCTAGATGAAACAAGAGAAAAGTTCGAGCCTTCACCCTTGCTTTGCAAGCACCGGTGGATGGTCTGAGTAAGCTGAGTTTGAAAATTGAAGAATGATCTAAAAACGTTCAGCTTCACTTGTTTTCTACAACCACCACCTTGGTTCGTCTCGTCATCTATGTTTCCGACTGTCGCGTGCTAACCAGTTTCAATAGCCTAAAAGACCAAAAAATTTCATAAAAAAGACTTTAGAAAAAAAAGCGGTTACCTTGTTGCCTCCTGTGTACGTTCGTCTCTTCTTATCATCTCCGTTCATCTTGTTTATCTATCTACATCTTCATATCCGTGCAGTCGCAGAAAAAGTCCTCAAAGCAGTAACGACCCCCCAAAACCCAGAAAACTAAATATGTCATCATCTTCCGTTCCCGAGACCGTTCCTATGGTCCAACCTGAGCCTGCACCTGCCGGCCCAGCTCCAGCTCCATCTTACAACCCTCAGACTTCGGTCACATCCTCTCCTTCGGCTTCGCTTTACGTTGGCGAACTTGACCCTACGGTCACGGAAGCCATGTTGTTTGAGATATTCAATATGATCGGTCCGGTTGCAAGGTGCGTGTTTTAGTCGCCTGGTTCGATTAGGTTCTGAAGCGTCGTGGCATGTTCCAGCATCCGTGTCTGCCGTGACGCGGTAACGCGTCGTTCTCTCGGATACGCGTACGTCAATTATCTAAACACCAGCGATGGTACGTCGATTATAGCTTAGATTGGTTTTCTAATCTGATATCTCTCAGGTGAGCGTGCCCTTGAGCAACTCAACTACTCGCTTATTAAGAACCGTGCATGGTGAGTGGCCAGCACACCACGAAGGGATGGGACTACTAATCACAGTCTATTAAAGTCGCATCATGTGGTCTCAGCGTGATCCTGCCTTGCGCAAAACTGGTCAAGGCAATATCTTTATCAAGAACCTTGATGAGGCCATCGACAACAAAGTAAGCTTCTACGGAGATATTACTTTGTCAACATCTTACAAATCATTCCAGGCTCTTCATGACACGTTTGCTGCCTTCGGCAACGTCTTGTCGTGCAAGGTTGCCACTGATGAGCAGGGTCGCTCGAAGGGCTATGGTTTTGTTCATTATGAGACTGCCGAGGCTGCCGATACTGCCATCAAAGCTGTCAACGGCATGCTGTTGAACGACAAGAAGGTGTACGTCGGTCACCACATCTCTCGCAAGGTTGGCGTCAATTGTCAGAACATGTGGTGTCATACTTAGCTTCCCCTATTTTCATAGGAACGTCAATCCAAGCTCGACGAGATGAAGGCCCAATTCACCAATTTGTATATTAAGAACCTTGACCTCGAGGTCACCCAAGAGGAGTTCGAGGAGCTCTTCAACCGATACGGTAGAGTGACTTCCGCAATCATCCAGGTCGATGACGAGGGCAAGAGCAAGGGTTTCGGCTTCGTCAATTATGAATTGCACGATGAGGCCCAGAGAGCTGTTGACAACCTTCACGACACGGAGATCAACGGCAAGAAACTCTTTGTCTCTCGTGCCCAGAAGAAGGCTGAGCGTGAGGAGGAGTTGCGCAGGTCTTACGAGCAGGCCAAGATGGAGAAGCTCAGCAAGTACGCGGGTGTCAACCTTTACATCAAGAACTTGGAGGATGACGTCGATGATGAAAAGCTTCGTGCCGAGTTCGAACCTTTCGGTACCATCACTAGCTGCAAGGTCATGCGTGACGAGAAGAATACCTCGAAGGGCTTTGGATTTGTGTGCTTTTCATCTCCCGACGAAGCTACCAAGGCAGTTGCAGAGATGAACAACAAGATGATTGGCTCAAAGCCATTGTACGTCTCTCTCGCTCAACGCCGCGAGGTTCGCAGGCAGCAACTGGAAAGCCAGATTGCGCAGCGGAACCAGATCCGCATGCAACAGGCTGCGGCTGCTGGAATGCCAGGGCCTGCTTATATGGGTGCTCCCCTCTACTACCCCGGGCCTGGCGGTTTCCCTCCTCAGGGTCGCAACATGATGGGTTATGGCCAACCTGGTATGATGCCCCCTCGTCCTCGCTACCCTCCCAGCAACGGCCAAGCGCCCACCGGTATGCCCATGCCTGCTTACGGTGCACCTCCTCAGTTTGGCATGCCTGGTTATTCCCGTGGTGGTCCTCGTCCTCCCGTTGCCCGTGGACCTGGTTCGTCCCCCACTAATCCTAATGTCCCCCTGCCGCGTGTCAACGGACCCCCAGCCAATGGTGCTGTTCCTCGCCCTGGTCCTCCCCAGGGTGGTGCGCCTCCCTCTCGTCCTCCTGGTGCTCCTGTTCCTGGTGCTCGCAGCCAGCAGCAGTACAAGCTCAATCCTCAGACCCGCAATGCTGTTGCCGCTCCGGGTCCAGTTGCTTCTCCCCCTACGAACGCGGCTCATCCGCAGGCTGACGCCATCCAGGCTGCTATGGCTAATGCATCTCCTATGGAGCAGAAGCAGATGCTCGGCGAGATCATTTACATGAATATCCTGACGTGAGCTATCATCAATTTAGTTGCGCATTGTTATTGATATCGCTTATCGTAGTTCCCAACCTGAGCTGGCTGGCAAGATTACTGGCATGTTGCTCGAGATGGACAACGCAGAACTATTCCACCTCCTTCAATCCACCGATGCTATGACTGCCAAGGTCAACGAGGCCCTCGCTGTGCTTCACGATTTCTCAAAGGAGGAAGCTTGAGCACTGGAAAAGCACGAGGTGTAGCTTGGGACGATGGGGTCATTCGGCGATTCAGTTGTTTCAAGATGTTTTCTGGAGCAGATTCTCAGCTCGTCCTTTCGTTTCGTTTACGCGCTGTGTGGCATGTTTATCATCTGCGACTGCTGCCTCTTCGTCATCGCTTTTTCTCTATGTCATGGTAATAGGTGGTGGTCAGTCCTTTGTGTACTTAAATAAAGGAACAGAGGTGATATGCTTGATTGATTGCCTGCGTGATTTATGCTACCTTTGAATGTTCACGATATGCCAATCATTAACATGAAAACGTAGGGTACATGAAGAGCTATGGTACTTTTCCAACGCCCAGACAACAAGTAACATAGGATAAAGAAATGTGGAAATGAATTAAGGATGTTTAGCCTTCTTCATTGCGTGCACAATGTGGAGGCGCGAGGAAGCTCGGACGAGAGGGTAATACAGATCCTGATGGGCTTCTTCGATCAATTTCCTCGCTTCCCAGTCCCGCATCCCAGCAGACAAGAAAAGAGGCTTCATCGCAGGTAGCATGATGTCATAGTTCATCCACGCTAGCTGACCGATACTAAGAGCAACAGGATCTGTAACAAATCGATAAGTTCCAGGAGGCTTTGGCATTGCGATCATTTGATACCCTTTGGCCAGAATCCTATTGGGATATTTCCTTCCTGCGAGACAATCCTATCGAACGCACCAGTCGATGCAACAAGATTGGAGAGCTCCGGAGGAATATTAACGTCAATGCCTTTATTACGCAGACACCTCCTGTAGTTCTCCCACAGTGTGAACCAGCCACGCATTCCTGACGGCTGTCCGGAGCGGGTGAAATGTGATGCGGATTTCTCATCCGCGATTGGTTCAGTGTCGGGTTCAATCAGTATGACGAGTCCACCTGGACGAAGCATCCGTGCAATCTCATGGAGAAATCGAGGGTAATTCTCTATCTGTAATTCGTGAGTCAGGGCGAACCAAACCACTGGTATGGTATTTCTTACTCCTGTATGCATGAATCTTGCGTGGATAACATCGAAGTGCTCGCTCGGGTAAGGTAGATAAAACTGATCCAAATCACAGAGCTCAAACCTAATTTCGTATTAATAACAAAGTACCTCTGAGAGGGGATAACTTACGTGCAGTTGGCAGGTACTTCACTGTAAAAATGTTAGTGACACCCAGCGATGGTACGATAAAGAGTATAAATTACCGTGGTTGAATGGGAGCGAGGTCGACACCTATCACTTCTGCTGAAGGAAATTCATCTGCTAAATCGATAGCCCTGTAATGCGGTTATATATACCTGTCACCAACGCGCCACAGAATTCCCAGAACACTAACCAGAAACCACCTCCCGTGCCCAAGTCAAGAACACGACAACGCTCCTGTCCCTCCTTTGGTGTCAATACGTCAGCGATGGGGCCAACATAATTCTTTCCATTGAAGAGAAATTGTATCGTCTTGTGCTGAAGTTCTGATCGCTGAAATGGGAACAAGATTATCACAAGGATGCCACGTCGCATAGGGAAACAGTCTAACCCTAACTTCTTCCTCGTCGGCGGGTAGCATATATCTCGAACTAAGGGTATTGAATCTCCTGCCATGTATTTGACAAAAGAATTCGGAGTCATCCTCGCCAACATAGGTAAGCTGGTTGAGAGGGAAGATCACGGGATAGTTGAGACGCATGAGCAAGCGCTGAGGGACTGAATTCAAGAAAGTAACATAGTGCTGTGAAAGGAGTATTCCCAAGTCTTATATCTCAGTTGAAAAGGATAACGAGATGGCACATAGATGGCATCCATGCGTGGACAACGATGTGATTCTTGCGAAAAGGTTTGCGGGTATACCGCGGAACTTGAATGAGGATTTGAAATAGCGCAATCCTAATCCTATTTGACAGGACAGCTCAGGTTTCTTCATTTGAGCTTTAAGAGCCGAGCTGTCATAAATCTGGAGATGTGAATGTGATGCCAAACTCATGAACTTTATCGTATTGGCTTGATGTCATGCACAAATACGGTACGTGTGGAATCCCCATGCCACCCACGGTTACTGCTAGCACTCACAAGGAAACGACCACCCGGATCTACAACTTTAGAACAGTCAGTTGACAGGGCACGTATATGTATTCAATAGGATAACACCTACGCATCTGAGAAACATAGCCCCCGTGATGACCTGGAATTATCTTGAATTGGACTCCACCCCTTGATTTCATACTTCCGTCCACTTCACCTGCCTCTGCAGCATTCCACAAGCGGATATTATCTGTCGACGCACTGGCACGCGCGGCCTCAATTTCTCATCCCTGTCAACGTCACGAGCAAACTCACCATGCGATGTGGCGGCCATCAGGGAAGGGTACCACACAGGAAACAACACCCGAACTCGGTGGATTACGAAGACTCTTCAGTAGTCTTGGTGTGCAATTTGGTCCAGAGCGACCGAGCAACCGGACATCCCAGACATCAACCGTTCCATTTCGGCGCCCAGCGTAAATATGCGACCCGTCCGTGGACCAACAAGCCTGAGGCCGATTTAAGAACGCGATACAGTGGGGAAATGTGAATACGTACAGAAACACACCACGGTGGAGTCTTTTCGCTCATCCAGAGTCTTCCGACACCTGTTCCTGGTGTGTTGACTCGTTTGTCCCAAAGCATAATCTGTCCGTCGATTGCGGCAATCATTAAAATATCTGGGGAAAATGTTGCACTATTGGAAGCATTTAGCAATGGTGGAGCGTTTTTCGGAGGTGCAACAGAGCTTTGAGGCGATCGTGATGCCTGCTGTTGGCCAGGGTGAGATGCCACCTCAGGGACAGCCAGGTTCGACTTATTGCCCGCAATCGAACCGTCCCTTTGTGGAACCTGAGAACGTAACGTCCCGAATTCGTCAGAAGGTGGGTTCTCGTTGTCAAATTCGCCATCAGCATCCGGTTCACCATCAAACAAGGGATCAAAAGAAGCATCAGATTTAGCATCTGCGTCTTGCATTTTGTGGCTTGAAAGTGGATCAATAGAAACGCTAGGTGATTGCTTGAATTGAGCGTCAGTGATAGCGATTGGTGGCTCCGCGTTGACGGCCCTGGAAATATCATTCTCCCTCGTAGGTTGTGATACCGAGTAGGAACCATAGCTTCCCGCGGAGGATACAGGGTCGGAATAGTATGGGGAGCCGAGCGGTCGAACAGCAATAGCAACAAGCTGTGCGCCGTGGGCAGTAAACTTTCGGATTCCTTGCCCGGTGTTCAAATCCCATTGCTGAATATCCAATTAAGTGATCACTGGCACCATCAGAACTATAACTTACAGTTGCTTCACCGTCCCATCCTGCACTGAAGAAGCCTTTCTCGTCATGATCAATGGAAAGAGCTGATATAGGTCCTCGGTGTCCGTTCGCCAGGACATGGACTAAACGGCCCGGATCATGTCGTATTGTAAAGAGATTGATGTGGCCACGCTGCAGAAGTTCCCGATTCAGTGTTGTCGGAAAAATTATGCTATCTAGAAAGCATACATTAGCTCCTCCTAGAGCCCAAATTGCATCGGAATGCATTGCTAGACTATAAACGGGACATGGGGAAGAATCGCCCATCGGAGGATACCCCGATTGAGGAACGAAATCTGGGTTTTCCCACCAAGATCGTATCTGACCGGCTTTCATGTTTCCCTCGACGACATTGCAGTGGTGTCTTTGCGGCGCTGTTAGTGTGGTCTTGCCATTTACAGTAGCGAATACATCGTAGTCACGAATAAATCCGTCATCCGAACCGGTAAGGAGGTGTGTCATGCAGAAGGACGAAGTAAGTGCATGTGTAGGCACTGGGTGGGGTATGGCACATATTGCTTCCACTGTGAAAGTTCGCGGTGGTAGTTCACTGTGAGATTGGGGAAACGCTAGTGTCCTCTTTCGAACACTTGCAGGGGATGGTGATCGCTGGTGAATTTGAGGTATTACTAGTGTTTGTCACAAGTATAAGCAATACGATACAATAGATTCGAAACATGGAAGTCTGGTGTACCTTTGGGCGGTTCAGGGGTTGGTGGTTTGGGTGAAACCGAAGCTGATTTGCTGACATCGGGTTGGACGACGGCGACAGACGGCGAAGAGGGTCCATCTAGATGGACCTCAACAAGAGGCTCTGACTCGTCGTCATCGTCATCGTCATCTTCTGAGTCATCTGAAGGGGAATCCTGCACACACGATGTTAAAAGCTACTGGCAATGTAATTAGGGTGAATTGCCATCTACCTCGTCTACTTCTGTTGCCTCATCTACACCGTTGTCCAAAGCACCCAGAAGATCCTCGTCGATATCGTTCTCTTCTTCAGCATCGCCATCCGTTGTTCTTGTATCGAATTCGAGGTCATCGATAGTCTCTCCTTCAGAGTCGCTGTGAGCCATGTTATGATCAAGATTCCCACGATAACTTTACGATCATACCGTTCCTCAGCTGCTACTGTCATGGTTCTAGCTGACCTCGGCCGTAAACTTAATGCTGCCCTGTCGTCGCTCAACAGAGCGCCTGTCGTTGATGAGAAGGCATGTTTTGCTCCAGATTCACAAATACGTCCACTCACCGTACTGCCGCACAGGTATTAGATGCAACGCTCAAGGAGATTACAGCTGCACTACTAGAATCGGATGTGAATGTCAAACTCGTAGCGTCTCTACGACAGAAAGTCAAAGTAAAGGTAAAGGCGGCTCTGGATGGCTCAGAGAAGTCAAAAGATTCCAGCCGGAAGAATCTCATACAGAAGGTCCGCATGCCCGACGAATATTATACCGGTGTTCATGCCGCTTGTCACTCAGGCTGTCTTCGATGAGCTAGTTCACTTGGTTGATCCAGGGGTCGAGCCATACAAACCAAAGAAAGGCCAACCGAATGTTATTATGGCCGTGGGTCTTCAGGTAAGCATCTCTCCCAACTTACGGTTATCCTTTCATTCATTTACAATAATTTCAAGGGAAACGGGAAGACCACCACATGCACAAAACTGGCTGTCTACTATCAGAAACGTGGTTTCAAGTCATGTATCGTCTGTGCGGACACTTTCCGCGCGGGTGCTTTTGATCAGACCAGACAGTCTGCAACCAAGGCTAAAGTAGCCTACTTTGGTTCATACACTGAAACAGATCCAGTCGCCATTGCAGCCCAAGGTGTTGCAAAATTCAAAAAAGAAAGATTTGAAGTGATCATTGTTGACACCTCCGGTCGTCACAAGCAAGAATCTGAACTATTTCAAGAAATGGTACAAATTGGAGAAGCTGTCAAGCCCAACATGACTGTAATGATCCTCGATGCCAGTATAGGTAATTCTGTTCTGTGCTCCAATCACAACGGCCACTAAATCTCGACTTCAGGTCAGGCCGCTGAGGCACAGAGCCGGGCGTTCAAGGAGAGCGCTGATTTTGGTGCCATCATTGTCACCAAGATGGACGGCCATGCGAAGGGTGGAGGTGCCATCTCAGCGTATGGTCATTTTCAATAACTGCTGGGGTTCCTGACTTCTGATATGGCGCAGTGTCGCCGCGACAAAGACCCCGATCATTTTCCTTGGGGTTGGGGAACATCTACATGACCTGGATCGATTTTCGCCTCAGCCATTTATATCCAAACTTCTTGGATTGGGCGACGTGCAGGGTCTCATGGAGCATATGCAAGATCTCGCCACCCAAAACCCAGACAAACAGAAGGAGATGGCGAAAAAACTCGAGGAAGGCAAGCTCAGCATAAGGGACTGGAGGGAGCAAATACAAAACGTAATGAACATGTGAGTTATTGTTAAGGTTCATTTCGTAATCATAAACTTTGCCCCAGGGGACCAATAAGCAAGATCGCCTCCATGATACCGGGCCTTCCCCAGGAACTACTTCAAGGTTCAGACGAAGAAGGTTCAATGCGAATGAAGCGCATGATCTATATCACTGACAGCATGTCATCGGCCGAGCTTGATTCAGACGGCTCGTTATTTATGGAAATGGGGAAGGATGGTAAGCCGGTAGGACTCACATGGAGAGTCACGCGTGTGGCAAAAGGGAGTGGCACGAGTGTGCGGGAAGTCGAAGAGTTGCTTTGTCAGTACAGGATGATGGCTAACATGGCCAAGCAAGCGGGTGGGAAGAATGGATGGTACGGGCCCGATCTTCGGTTGAAAAGTGATTGGCTAAGTAACAGTCGCAGGTTACAAGCAATGCAGAAGATGCAGAGCGCAGCAGGGGGGCGTGGGCGTGGAGCCAACGGCATGCCTACCCCTGCACAGATTCAAGCGATGCAAGTGAGTGGACGATTTTGTCATTCTAGCGGGGTTTGACCCTTCCCTTCTAGCGTGCAATGCCTCCAGGGATGCTGCAACAAATGCAACGGCAGTTAAGGAGCGGTGGTGGTATGCAGGAGATGATGAAAGCAATGATGCAGGGTCAAGGAGGTGACCAATTTGATATGGAAGAGATGCAAAGTAAGTCCTTTTCCGATCGATTATCATGTGCTAGTTTGTCGATCGTCACCCCAGGAATGATGGGACAGATGAACAACGGTCTCGGCGGCCTCGGAGGGCTGCCTGGCATGGGAGGTGGCATGCCAAACCTCGCAGATATGTTTAAGATGATGGGTATGGGCGGCAACGCTGGACGGTGAATTCCCAAATAAAGTTCAGGTTTCTGAGAACATGTACGAAATACTCGTCACTTGTGAATTTCTCTTCTGCTAATACTTTACTAATTAAGACAACCGTATCAGGATGGTTATTAATACAGTGCTGGTCTGTTCTATATCAATCAAGGGTCGTGCCATTGGCAGTGCAGGTCACTTGATGGTTTTTACGAGCTCTTGTTCCTTGTCTGTTGCTTGCTCCACTCCTTTTTGCGGGCAGAAGCCGCGTTTCTGTTCCCGAATATGAATGTGGAGGTGCGCTTGTCAGCTCCAGTCTTCTTCGAAATCACAGATGGCCCCGCAAAAAGAAGCTGAAGACCCCAGATTGTGTGCGCATATTTCACTAATAAAATTATTGAAATCACGTACCACCCATAGTCCGAATAACCCGACAAAAGATGTCCCTAGAAAAATGAATTTGCCAAAAGAGCCGACATCACTTTTATTGTAAGAAAGGAATGCCAAAAGAACTGAGGCAGAAGTGACGGGCACGAGGAGGGGATGGGAGTTCACATGCTCATCGTGCTGGAAACCGATAGGCGGAGCGTTTGGAATCTGTAAGTGTCCATCAGTGAAATTCGAAGCATGCGATCCCTTGTAAGACTTCTCACTGTTACTATCAGAGTGAGTGCGATTGCGCCCATCGCAATGCCAAGTTGTTCCGCGAGGAAGGATTCAAGGGGTGAGAGTACATTTCGTCCCCCTGACGGTTCCGTCATGAAGAGGAGAAACCTTGGAAACAGTGTCAAGCTTGTAGAAAACACAATAAGGCTGCAATGTAAGCGAAGGTTTCAATACAATAGTCGAAGAGCTAGCAGGTTGGTATTACAAGGCCGCTGAAACCCAAGCCCAAAGACCTATTGCTCCGTCTTGGCGGCTGGCAAAGGTTTCATCAACTGAGTCTATATTAGTAGTTCCATCGTTCGAGTACGCTGTACGTCTCCTGCTAGAAAAGTCTTCAAGTTCAATGTCGTTGGACATTAATGTTCGACGTGGACACTCAGGTTGGTTCTTCAGGGAAGCTTGAAAGAGTCGCCGTGTGTTACGTAATGTAACTTTAAATTGTTGAACTTAGTTTGACTATTGCAGCCGTTGCCCAAGTTATTCTGGGCAACCAGCCACGGCCCACGAGACCTCCGAGTCTCAGTCACGCTTCGGGATGCGTATGCAAGCGATTCTAAGCCTGCTTGCGTCCACGCCTTATGTACGGGATTACTCCAACATCACTCACGATGTCCTGAACCATCTTGGCAGCATTTCCCCGTATCATCGTGCTCGTCATTACGATGCTTCAGAAATCGATTCAGAACTCCCTATCGACTGCACCGTTGACCAAGTAATGCTTGTGAGTTGCAATTCTGCAGTGGACTTTATACATAAATGTTAGGCTAATCACGAGGTAGATGCACCGTCATGGCTCTCGCGGTCCCATTGGCGAACACAGATATATAGAGCGGTTGATTCAGACACTCCATGACGCAACGGATATTATCCAGGAAGTAGAACTGCCTCACGAGCTCGAGTTTCTGAGAGCGGGGTATAATTCAAGCCTGACGCCACATAATTTGACTATACTTGGGCGCAAGGAACTCTTTGACCATGGGGTTGAGTGAGTCGGGTTCAATTTCATGTGAAGGCAATAATTATAATAATTCGCAAGGTTCGCATTGAATTACCCACACCTGACAACCGACATCATCCTATCTAGCGATTCGGGTCGAGTGGTCGAGTCTGCGCGTTGGTTTGCGTTGGGTTTTTTCGGACTTAATCCAGATGTTCGCATTGTGACTGTCAATAACAAAGATGATCCAGTTTCTTGGATCACTCCTGCACCAGGACCTGCTTGTCCCAACTTCGACTATGGTTTTGGAAGGCAGGCGACGTTGACGTGGAGCAAACACTACCTACCTGTAATCACTGATCGCCTAAACATGCTTCTACCTGGAGTCGGGTTCACTGAAGATGATATTCATGGGGCTTTGTTTGCTTGTGCCTATGACTTGGCTTCACATGGTGCTTCTCCATGGTGTCGCGTTTTTCTACCCGATGAATTGGCTAATTTCGAGTAAGCCCGATTGATTAAGCGTGCATGGCTTTCTGATGATAATTATTATCGAGGTACGAGAGGGACATCTTAATGGATGCTTCGTGCGCCTATACGTTACCAGATAACATGGCCCCTCTCGTGGGGACGGTGTTTGTGAATAAGCTGATTGAGCGGTATGCAAGTGTTCCATATTTTACAACAAAATAATTCACATTGTCTACAGCTTCACAGATTCTGAGGGTGACAGCCGGTCGTTATATCTTGAATTCGGGCACGATGTCACAATTTTGCTTGCTCTATCTGCTTTAGGTCTGGCAAAGTAAGCGTCATACTCATCCGTGGGGACTTTTTACTATGTCAATTTTCCAGGGATGACCCTCCCCTGTCCCCCGACAAGCTACGTCCTGGGCGGAAGTTTCGGACATCTGAATTTACACCTTTCGCCGCCAGTATGGTTTGGGAAAAATTCACATGCACAAGCTCGTCAGTATTACACTGTTCTAATGAATCCATGCTTGGAGTTCTTATATTTTCTCCAGATACGATGGACCACAAATTCGCCTTATCCTAAACGATGCTACCATGCCTTTGACTATTTGCGGTCAAGGTATGGATCCTATACTCGGGACATGCTCCCTCGATACTTTCGTCAATGCGAACCATTACAGCACAAGCATTCGGTTCCGGGATAAAACCTGGAACGCGACTTGTGGGGTGTGAATTGACCAACGCGATAGAAAATCTTCTTACCATTACACTAGGTATTTCTGTCTTGTAGAGGCCGCGATTTAAATTCGGCATAAGACTCTGAGGGCATTGCGACTTGTCCGAAATTCCTCTGTTTTTTTGGGACTATGTACATCATTTTGAAGTTACCAAGTAATCACCATCCAAGAATGGATCAAGCTTTAAACTTCAACGCTGTACACTGTAGTCTGTCATCATGATCAATGGGTATTACTATGCAGAGGTAATATGAATGCATCACTTGACGCAGTCTCTGCATACTGCCAGCAGCATCCACTTATTCCTCTGTCGGAGTCTATTCTCCCACACGACATCAACTTAACACAGTTGGAGCTGTAAAAGCAATATAATACTTGGAAGTTGGCAGTGTGGTTTTGATGATGACAGCGTACCGCACAGTTGTAGCATCAAAGCTTGATCTACCGCATCCTTCAGCTAACTACATTAACCTACATAATAGACTCGAGCTCTCGGAGTGTGGGAATGTCACTGTCACTAGCGCCGGTACGTGTGCACACTAGTATGATTTGCTCCATGAGCGCTTGAGCTCACGATACTTCTTAATATACTTAGGCCTCGGAAAAAAAAGTGATGTCAACAGCAAATTGCCTTCAGTAAGCCTCCGTTTCAAGTATCCATTGCAGAGGGTGTCATCTTTTGTCATGCCTTTCGTTATCAGAAAATAGTTAATGTTACGCAAACGCGACTCCAAGTCCCGGCTAAGTTTGAAGGAAAAACTCGTCCACGAGCTCAAGCTCAAACGCCCTGTGACGCGAGCGCCGTCAGAGAAATGGTGAGAAGATATTGTCATAACTGTCATAAATGCTAATATATAGGAAAGGATCCAGTCACTGGCAGGCATGAAGAATGGCCGCGAGCCGAGCCGAACTGGAATTCGGGATCTTCTCGCATCCGGGTAACACAATGGAATGGGGGTTATAAGCCCAACTGGGCATATAAAGGACTGCACTGAACTGGTTCCTAGACCCATCAGTCTAGTACCCCCAACGATGTTCATCCAGGGTATTCTAAACTGGTTGACCCTAGCGTCTCTGACGTTCATTTCACATAAACATGAAGACGAAGACCCTCTCAAGAGACTCGGAAACTTGACTCCGTACCGTGTAGCTCCTGCTTCTCATAAAGTCAAGGCAGAGTTACCTAATGATTGCAGTGTCGATCGAGTGATGCTTGTATGCCTCAGTTTCTCCTTGCGAAGCGCGAACATCTGACGCAGTTGCAGATGCACAGACATGGCTCACGTGGACCTGCTGGCGCCGAAGAGATGGACTTGATTAACTCCCTCGTCCAAACGCTGAGAAATGGTCGTGATGCTCTCCAGGATGCTTATCTCCCTGAGAACCTTCGTTTCCTCCAGACTGGGAAGGGATATGAATCACATCTGGACCCAGAAAACCTGACCATCATCGGGCGTCAGCAGCTCTTCAACCATGGTGTGGAGTACGCTTTTTCCCTCCATTGTTTTGTCGAGTTGCACTAATGTGCCGTCTAGATTCGTGTTGAAATATCCGAACTTCACTACGGAAACATTACTATCCAGCACTACGCAAAGAGTGATTGATTCTATGTACTTTTTTGCTCAGGGACGTTTTGGTCGCGAAGTCGAGGACAAGGATTTCCTTACAGTCGATGATGTACCCGGTCCAGTGTCTTGGATCACTCCTTGGACTTCGTGCCCTGGCATCGACTGGCACTATGCATCAAAGGTGAGTAAACCGGTTTTAATTCTTGTCTAATGATATATTAATGATATATTAATTGTTTAGGTGGGAAATGAGTGGAGCAACGCGTACCTCCCTAGCATCACAAAGCGCTTGAATGACCTCCTTCCTTATGGCGTTTCCTTGACTGATGACGACACGCACGGAGCTTTGTATGCATGTGCATATGACATAGCCGCAGGGGAAGTCTCACCATGGTGCGATGTTTTCTATGCGGATGAACTTGCAGATTTTGAGTAAGGCTATTTGAACACCGGCGGCGCGACACTGACACATTATACTTAGGTATGAAATGGATCTCATTATGGTCGCAAGTGTCGGATACCTGGTGCCCAATGATGCTGGACGTGTCATGGGAAGCGTCTTTGTTAATGAACTAATCAATAGGTACGTTCTAACGCATGTTAAGACAGTCCTATAAACATGTGAGCTAGATTCTCCAACACTAGTGGGGAAGCCCAGTCCCTCTATCTCGAATTCGGACATGATGCTACTATCATGGCTGCAATGGCTGCAATGGATCTCAATAGGTACATTTCCATACTCATAGTCGGAGACTACATTTCATATATTCATTTGCAGAGACGAACCCCCACTGTCTTCAGAAGAACTACGTCAACACCGAAGGTTCCGAACATCATATCAAACTCCCTTCGCCGCCCAAATGATCTGGGAAAGTTTTACTTGTAAAGAGTCGTAGGTCCTCCTTCGTTAGAGCTGTAATTTGACAACTCATTCACCGTCAAGATTCGATGGACCACAAATTCGACTGGTACTTAACGAAGAGACATATCCCTTGCGGACTTGCGCAGAAACCAAGCAAGATCGTCGATTTGGGACTTGCTCACTGGATGCATTTATAAGAGCCAACCAATTCAGCACCGACATCGAGTTCGGTGATGATACGTGGCAAGCGGCCTGTGGTGCCCACTCAGAAGTTTTGAATGTTCAAGGATAGTTACTCAAGGTATAAACGTACCGGTCCTTGAATCACCAATAGCCTTTGGAACAATTGCTCCGGTGATTTTCTGCTTTGTGTAACAATGACATCATTTTTCACCTTGTTGATGACTGCTTGATTTGCTACTTCAGCAAATTGAAGGAAATCGACGGCACACCCGTGAGATAGCTTAAGTAGGGATGAAACCCATATTTCTATACATCAAGGCTCAGGTGCTACTTACATAGCGCGATGCCAGTCAGGGACGATGATTTGCCTCGAAAGTTATCTTTTTGCGCGTAACTTCTGTCAAGTTCAGTGCGCCGCAAACAGTTTTCAGGCTCTCCACTTAGCAGGCATCAGGCATCATACACAACCCCCTTGCACTGCTTTTGATTCCCACACAGACCCTTAATGAAAGTTTTCAATTATGTATGCGGCTTTCGGTGCGCCAAAGAGACATACTGAGATTCAGACGAAGAAAAGACTGCGCAAAAAAAAAATGAGATCTCAATGATTCACTCCTATAAATTATGTGTCCTTCCGCCCGAAGGTGAACCCTTGTTACATCTAAAGAGTATAATGGGCATTGAAAAACTAACGAAGCACACAACCAGAAGCAACACAATAACAGATATATCATGACCAACCCGAATCTTGACCCCAACCTGCGGTATTTTGTATCATCGCAGCTCGTTGAGGATTCATTCCCGGAGGGATACCAGGTAGTGGTGGACCTGAATATGCGGGGGTTTGGTAACCAAACGATGCCTGAGGGGGTATATTAAAGCTGGAGCTCGGAGCGCCTGGTCCAAAACTCGGTCCTCCTATCCCGGGAGCAGGCGTCCGGCCACCGTAGGGATTAGGTGTCCGAGCGGCTTGACGAATGGACATCTGCCCAGGGGCTGGGTGAGCGGGCGTCCGAGCAGGCGTTCGGGCACCGGCACCTGTGTACGGTGTTTTCCCTCCAGCGGCGGCAGCAGAAGCAGCCAAATTTTGAGATTGATGTAGATGCCTGGACAAGATTCAGCTAAAAATGGCTTGGAAGGAATTGTTCAAGCTCACCTGACTTTGAAAGCGTCGCAAAGCTCAGGAACACCAGCTACTGCGGCATCAAATAGACAATAGGATTCGGGCATAACTCGGACAGGCTGCGATATAATTAAGCATGAGATACAAACAAGTAACGCCTGCTTACCCATGTCTGAACGGTGGAGTTCTTGTTAGCAAGGAAGCATAAATTGAAGTGGCCAGGCTTTCTCCGGTTCAAGGTGAAGCCGTATATACTCTTCGCAGGATTGGCTGCAACGAAGTTTTTCAAAAACAGATCTGGAATATCAAGATTAATCCCAGACATTCAAATATAGGGCCTTTAGCGTACGAAGTTCGTCTTCGGAGCCGTGCTTGAATTTTTCGTGAGCCATCAACTCCTCCACTTTACGGGCGGTCGCCTGAACGTGATTAACAATCAATTCATCTAGATCAGCATATTGATGCTTTTCGTCGACGATGAGTAGATTTCCTCCCTGGCCTGTATTAATTTCGGTAACGTCTGTGGTGGGATTAGAAGTGGAGTCGACTTTCGGCGATTAACGTACGTACCAATATGCTGATAAAGCTTGTCGTCAACCTTCCACGTTACAGCGAGGTGATCAACGCCTTTAGAAGATGGGCGAATTACTACATCGCCACGCTGTTGCTTGTCAAGGTAGTTCTCAGCCTGGGTGGCATTGAAGTTATGGAAATTGGGATGTTTGACTACTCTCCTCGTCCGGTCAATCTCCGCGCGTTTTTTACGAGCTTGCATCTCCAGATCCCGTTCAAACTGTGGAAGGTTCCACTGATCGTCTCGTTTGACAGATCGGAAAAGGCCATCACCCGCACGAAGATCAGACTGGCGAACAGACACTTTAACGAAGAACTGGTCTGCAGGTAAATCCAGCTTGACATCGACGATGACACCCGGTATAGTTTGTCCTTTCTTAACGACATCCTTGGGGGCTATGTTGCCATCTTCGGTAAGATACCCGATATCGATGACGCCCTCGATACCGGAATCCAAACGAATATGAACGAGAGTTTGCTCAAGGCGGACCACCATAATCGAGACAATGAGACCCATACGGAGAGTTCGAGGGGTCTCTCCACTGAGCATCGTGAGAACATCCCATGGCCCTAGAGAGGGGAAAGGTGCCCTCTGCTCGGAGAACGGTTTCAGCAGCTCCTCCCGGATGACATTCAATGTGTGACGTTTACGGTCTTCATTCGCCTCGTACATGCTGACGGCAAACTCGTCAAGATTAAGTTCGTTCAACTTTCTTTCGTTGTCAGCGTCTTGCATGATAACTGAGACGACGTGAGAAGGATGTTCATCATGAATGTCTTCTTCATCTAACTCCAGGGCATCAGTTGCCATTTTGCGGGCCAATTCATAATCCTCGGGGTGGATACGAGTATCATCAAGAGGATCTTGGACGTCATCGTCAGCATGACGATTCTTGGAAAGCTTGGCTTCAGGATCTCGCGAGATGCGCAGGAATCCAGCGGCATTAAGGAAAATTTTGGTCGTTAACAATGAGGACTTGATGAATTGATCACGATTTATCAGATTTCCCCCCTATTGACGGTACGTGAGCAACAACCAAATGAAAAAAAGTTTGGATTGACCATGGCAGAAATCTTCTTGACTAAGACCTGGGCTTTTCGTGGGCCGAGTCCACAAACGAAAGGTAATAAATGCTGATAGTAGGAGTCGTTGACAGCGCGGTTGATATCAACTCCAACTTTGTTCGTGACATCAACCAAAGTTCGCTCCAGAGCTGAGAGTAACTTCTCCTTAGGGATCTACGCACACGTCAGCATCGGTCTAGAAGGCTGCAGCCATTACATACCAAGTGCTGATCTTCATCCTCAAGGGGAATGGCAGTAATGTCGTGTCCAAGCGCGGAGTACTCGTTCAACGGACTCTGAATATACCGAGCAAGTCCAACACAGTATTTGGCAACAGGCGACAGTGCGCTAAATTCCTCCGCGGCTCGTTTGCTGTGCTGGTACATACGAGCAACTTCGTCTCGGACGTACATCACAGGGATGTTGAACGCCTGTTCGTTTGCTTCCCTGGGGGCCTCTGAAGATCCCCAACCCTCCGCACCAGTTGTTGTTGGATCCGAATTTGATGGTTCTCCATTAACAAGAGACCTAACCTTTGATGACAACTTGGTCGTGGCCATGCTTAAGCCACCCACAACGATGACGTCGGGACGTCTCCGCTTCAAAAGATCTGTGAACTCGTCCTGGTAATCACGATCAACAAGATTATCAATTTTGATATGCTCGCGCAGTCTCCCTGCCTCGTCCAGGAAAACTAAGGTGATTGCATCCTTTTGAGGGTCCCCCTTGCCCCAAGACACAGCAAGCACAGACGCAGTGTCACCAGGTTTCATTTCGGGAGTGATATACGGAGCCACGTCAATGCGCTGAGGACGAGTCAATGACAGGTCAACAGTAAGACGGTGAAAAAGCACCTCTCTCAAAACGTTGCCGCAGTGGGCTGCGAGTGTATCTTCTACTTCCTCTCGAAGCCATTCCCGCGCCCACTTAACACCCACAGGTATGAGGTGTTGTTCGAGGGCCTCTTGGACGACACGTGATCGCTCTTCATTCCAAGCTCTGGCAGTATCACTATAGCTGTCAGATGCGAAGGCATCATTGAGTCTACGCTCGAACTTCGACTTTGCCTCGTTGGTAAGGAATGTTGATACGGTGACCAAAAGCTCAGCTTCTGCCGCAAGGATATGAAGAAATTGTGGTGTGTCCATCATCTGCGTAATACTCTTGTGATGAAGGTACTTGAAATTCTGATGCAGAAAAAGATGAATGGGCGCTCGACCAGAAGTCACGGCATTACTCACAAAGTAGGGATGGTGCTCATCGATTTTAGTCATTCCCCTCTCTGTCGGCAGCACAGAGATCAAAGCATCAGTCTTGAAGAGATCACGCATTGCTTGACGCAACAAAGGATCTTTGCCAAGTTCTGTAGCAAGAATCATCCGAGCACGACGTAGTAACTCTTCAGCAGGTTGTGCCACAGCGGCGTCCGGATCCGTAAACTGCTCCGCAAATGCAATGGGATTCAGCTCCTGATCATCGACGAAATGCACGTTCTCTTGCGCAACGAAGTTGTAGACCACCTCATATGGTTTAATTCCGAAGCCCTGTAATATGGCAGAACATGAACGCGTGCATGTGTCTCAAGAAGGGATTGGCGTACATCAGCAAGTTTAGAAACTATACTCTTCTTGGCTACCTCATACGCAGATATGCGACTAGGAGCCTTTCGCTTTCTGGTTTCCGCTTGATCCTCGTCGTCGTGGAACTGGAAGTCAAAGGCATCCTGCTTCTTGAGTTTATATGTCATGGTCAACCATTCGGTTGCGTCAGTGACAACCTCCACACTGTCGATTTTTGGCCTAATTGTCTGCTCAAAATACTCGTCCTCGACATTCAGGCGTGCATATGACAAAGCCAATGCGTTCTTCCTTTGAGCTAAAGACCGATATTTCTGGCCAAGTGCATATATGCGCCAGAGTTCAGCGAGGCTGATGAGCTGGACTCGAGTGCGCATTTCTTGAGGGTTGAAATACGAGATGTAGTCTCGTTTGTGAGTCCAGATATACGGGACCTCAAACTCCTGGACGAAGAGAAAACGAAGAGCATATGTCACGGCCATGACCAAAGGCTCGCGATACATGTTGTACGGGCCATCCGGACTAAAGAAATCCCTGGTCTTCCGAGGGGATAGTCGGACGGTAACCCACATTGCTGCATCGTCCAAATCAGCTTCGGTGAGATTCTGGTGAAGGGATAGCGTAGATGATTGAGAAAGCGACGAAGTTGCCAATTGCATGCGCTCTGGTATGTCTTGCGCCCGGATCAAATCATCGTCCTCGGTCAACATACGCGCACGGATCTCCGACGGTTCGAATACCTAATGAAGGAGAGTAAACATATTCCATGGGAGGAGTTGGTGAAGAGTACACGTACGTCTTGATATCTCATCTCTGGCTTGACACGGTCTTCCTCGAAATCCATTTCATCGTCACCCAATAATGCCCAATCATAGTCATGGCCGTCTCCAAAGACACCATGTATTTCGTCCCATGCCCTGAATGTGCATCCATGTCAAATAATGTAACCCAAGGAATCGACATTTCACTTACATGTCGTCGATACCAGCTAGCTCAGGACGAGAGCCAATAGCTTTCCGCCTCTCCCTCTCTCGCTTTTTCCTCTCTCTTCGTCTTTCCTCACGCTCCTGCTCATCCATGGCACCAGCCCCTTCGTCTTCATCTTCATAGTCGATGAAATCGTCCATGTCTTCCTCGTCGTCACGTCCACCTCCAGCGCGCTCATCATCCCAAATCCGCTGAATATCCTGGACTTGCGGCAGGTCCTCGTCGTCTAAGTCATCTTCTGACGATTCCACAATTGGCTTGCGCTTAGAGGTCGATGGAGCGGGTGGGGAACCGCCATCTGGCCCGCGCCGTAAACGAGTCAGTCGATTCCTGAATGAAGTGCCTGTGTTTTCCTCCAGTAGCTCAAGGTCATCATCTTCCAAGGCTTCCTCCTCGTCTGAGAAAATACTTTAAACATTGTATTAATGAACTCAATTCATATGCTTACCGCGCCTCCGATGTCTCCTCTTACGCCGCTTCCTTCGTCGATGCCTTGCCTCATCATCGTCTTCCTCCTCATCCTCATCTTCGTCTACGATGAAGCCTTCCCTGATTCTTCTCGCCTCTTCCTCGTCTTCCTCCGCTTCCTCAGAGCTATCGTCCGAGATGGCCTGGGGATCTGCCATAGTGGCATCCCCTTCCCCTTCTTCCTCGTGAACAGAAGCCATTGTCTCATCTTCCTCGACGACACGGTCAACAGGATCTGCTAAAGGCGAAGACATGATGGTTCATGAGCAAGATGTGCTGAATTTACGCGGACTTGGCCGCGCCACATATTACGTAATACAAAGAATTAATGCCGAAAGTTAGTCTCGCCCATTGACTCCATGGACTTGGCGGCCGGGGGTTATACATCGTCGTTACTAGGTCCCCCGACCTATTTGAGCCTCCAGGAGCAGGTAAGTCACGTAGAATGATCATTAGTAACGAAGTTGACATGCAAAGCTCTTGCAGCAATCTGGGAGTACTTATCAATCGCCTACCACACATGACGCCGACGTCTAAATCACCGACACTAGAAGAGCACGAGCATGATCCATTCATGCGTCAGGCATTAGAGCAGGCTGCATTCTGCGAACCTGTACCCACAGCATTCTGTGTAGGATGCATCCTTGTGGTGCGTTTGCCAGATTCGGAACCAATTGTATTGTCCAAAGGTTTCTCGAGGGAATTGCCAGGGAACACTCATGCCGAGGCAAATGCTTTAGCCAAGCTTGAAGGTCTCTCTTCCCCGCAGTTGCAATCTCTCGTTCTCTCCATGGCCATGGGAAGCGGTGCCTGTCGTAGAAGACCTTCTTCCCCTTGTAGACGTTTATACCACGCTTGAACCATGCTCAGTCAGAACATCGGGCCTGCCTGCCTGCGCTGACGCCCTCATTCGCGCCAGGATCAGACGTTGCATCATAGGTGTACGAGAGCCAGATGACTTTGTCAAATGTGAGGGTGCGCAAAAGATGAAGGATGCCGGTATCGAGGTTATCTGGTACGGCGGCTTAGAGCAAGAATGCTTAGACACTGCCCGCAGAGGTCATGACATCTAGACTGTGGGTACTCGAGTACTACCAATTACATCAATATAGTTCTCATGTCGGCAGGATCACCTTCCCAAAGACCTCCGACTATCTCTGACCAGTAGTCAATAACTTTCCTGGCGAGTTGCATATCCATGATAGCTGGGGCACTCTCAATCGCCATCGTTATTGTATCCTCCGAAGGGTGTACAATAATTTCAACCATAACATCGTCCTAAATTACAATTCAGCATGGTCTCCAGGCGAGAAATATGTCATGAATCTGACCTGTATAAGATTCGACATAGGGATCCAGTCGACAATTTTTGGATCGGGTTCTGGGACGTCTTCTGGTATCGTGTAGGGGATCTGTAGGTGGGAGTTAGATCTCAAGCAATCTCGTTCAGGACTTCACTGACGTCTACCGATCCAAACAATCCTGCTTCCTTGTCGCCTGACGGAAACCTAATCAAGTTGACAAACACATTGCACAATGGTGCTCCCGTGCCTCCTATCCACTGGTCTATCATTTGAAGATCGGTCTGCTGGACGACAGGAGTGCGCAACCGTAGGTCGTCTTGAATGTTACGAGCAACGTCTATGATGCTGTTGCTTCCAAGATGGGTATGCATTGGCAGCACGTTCATGCATGGGAATGCCAATCTGTCGATATCTTTGATAGGTCCTGTTCGACCTGCGTGCCATAATCCAAATGTCGCTTGTTCCTGGGAAATATAGGAAGACTGGACGTATGCCCAGCATGCCAGCAAAACGCTCTGTAGCGACACGCCATGCACCCGAGCGCGCTGTTCAAGAGTAGATGCCCCATGCACCGCATCCCTCGCGATAACATTAGTTCGAGATATACTCTTATCCTGAACCGCGAGAGGTCTGAGCTGAGGAAAGTATGCCGGCCGGAAAGAGGGTGTGAAGATGGACCGCCAATATTTTTCCTGTTTCTGGAGATTTTCTGGTGTCGGTGCAAACGTCGACATGAACGTTTCATAATCTGATGTGACCGACGAGGGTTGACCAAGGTAGATGTGACAGAGGTCCTCGATCAAAAGGGCAAGACTCCATGCATCGTATTGGAAATGATGCATTCTAATCAGTAGATATTGGCTGCGCGAGCCATTCAAAAGTAGTCCGCAGGTCTGAGGTCCATCAATTGGAGGTGGGCAAGAGATGATTGCGTCCATCCGCGTCTTCAGATCCGTGCTGTCTGACAAATCATCGAATGGCTCAACGGTAAATGAGCTTCCCATTTTGTCGGTATTGAAGGTTGCTATGTGGACATCCGAATGAGACTTTGTGGAGACGAATGTTGACCTGAGAATGGGATGTCGAGTGATGAACTCTGTCCACGAACTACGTAGTCGTTCGGGGTCAATTTTCTGGGTCATTCTATAGGCGAACACATGTTGAAATCGCGCATAATGACTTCTTTGCCAGGCGCAAATGAGCCATTTCATGCCAGAGGCTGCCCGAGTAACGGTGAGGTCTCCGCGCCACTCGGATGGGAATTTGTCAGCGACAGCTTGAGAATCGATCTCAGGGACTAGATGATGATCCAGACGCGGTGGACTAGTCTTCGGCTGTGTCTCCACTTCGACCACCCTTGTAGCCAAATCACCGATTGTACGGCAAGCGACGATATCCGCAATGGTCAACGCAATTCCTGCTTCCCTACATTTTGCACTGAGCTGAATCGCTGTGATCGAGTCGATCCCAATAGCTGCAATTGGCCTGTCCGGGTCCAGCTTGTCGGCGGAACATTTGGCGACAGAAATCAGGACGTTGACCAACGCAGGAGGTAAATGGTCAATCCCTCTGCGGGGTGCGATGCTGGCGTTCAGCACACCGTTATGGAGGGGAAGCTTTCTGCCGTCAAAGGGAACATCCGCAACGGCCTTGGCATTCGGTTGGGAGACAATGGTACCGAGGAAAGCCTCAAGCCGTGACATCTCATGATCCAAAGACTCCAGATCCATGATATTTGGCAGGCAAGCCAGCGTCACAGAAAATCCATCATCCATTTCGTGAAACTCGCAGTTCAATGGATACTAAAGTAGGCCAATTAGTAGAAGTATACAGAAAGTGCAGATTATGTACCTGAACGTTGGCTTGAAACTCGTCTGGATTGAGCATACTCCATAAAGGACTTGAATATATGGACTGTAGAGGTTGAAAGACAAATATGCTGTCCCATAGATTAAAGAGCCCCGTCTCGGCCTGTATGTCACGAAGCGAAATATGTTGCCATTCTAACGCGGCCAAGTTATTTGCATGGATGGAACGCAATAAATCCCTGTTGGTCGCGGTTTCGCCGATACGAACACGACATGGTATAGTGCTCTACACCGCGCATGGTCAGTGAAAGTCTGCCCCCTGGTCAAAATACGCACCAGCATGGGTCCAATAACGTCTTCGTGGCCTGGAAAAGAGCGTCCAGAGACAACGTGACCGAATATAATATCATGGGAAGATACTTTTGATGAGAGAAGCTTTGACCAAGCTGCCTGCCCCAAACACTGAAGGGTGACACCCGCACTACTGGCAGCCGTCTTCAGAACCTGGTGGTCTAGCTTCAATCGACGAGAACAGACGACCGACAAAGACTGTGCAGACTCCGCGCGGGGGTAACGGAACAGGATGAAAGTCTTGCAGATATTGGGTCCAAAAGGGAATGCTTTGACGTTCTTCTCGCAGTATCAAAGGAAGCACGTCATAGAACTGAGGCAAATTCGGGGAAGAATGGGATAGATACGCCCGCTCCAACTCTTCGAGCAGCGTTCCGATGGAAATACCATCATATGTAGCATGATGCATGGCAATTGCAAAGGTATAGTTCTTGATCCCAGCATCTTCCTGCTGTTCGACCAAACAAAAAGCCAATGAAGGCGTGAACGTTCCCTGCTCTGACACGCTCGTTGATCTGGTGACAGTTTGAATCATGGCATCTAGAGATTCTCCAGCATGCAGAGGGACCTCGATCCAAGTCATGGGCGCATCAGAATGCGAAACTTGCGCCCATTTCCCCAAGTCGACGATGTAATGGAATGTTGTCCTGAAGATGTCAAAGCTCGTGACAATGGATTGACAGGCTTGACGAAGACGGGTATGGTCCACGGAAGATGCTAGCTTGAACATGAACACATGATTATAGAGTAAGCCTGAGGAGACAACCGTCTGAGGAAGCAACATATCAGCAACTGCACTCAAAGAAGAAGAGTTGTTGTTTGTTACCTGTGATAACATCCCTGCCTGCAAAGCGGTGGTTGGAAGTATCCTGGCTTCATCGCGATCAGAAAACCGGCAGGTGGCGACATCGAAATGGGACTCCAATATACGACATTCTTCTTGAAATAGATCCTGAGCTTCCGACTCCAATTGTGCGCGACCAGCATCTTGAAGTAGCGTCGGTAAGGACTCCAGTTCAGCCAGACATGCTGACTTCATAAGTTCTGCTGCAGTTACGTGGTATCCTTCTTCCCTGAGTGCTCGTGAAAGCCCCACCGACCTGATGGAGTCGAGACCCAGAGCAATAAATGACGTTCTCGACCATAGCCGTTGGGGATCAACACCCAAAAACTGAGCTATGATCTTCCTCACAGAGTGCAGAGCTACACTGATGCCCCTTTCTCCATTAGAATTGTGTATGCCATTAGCGGTAGCGACCGGTGGTGTAGATTCCACTCGATTGACTGGGGACTTCTGTGGAACAACGACATGGGGCACTCCGGAAGTCACGACGCCGCGAGCCTCAGACTCAAATTGGAGAAGCATCGATTCGATGTTGGCAACTTGCGATCCATCATCATAGAAGGCTGCCCGAATAACGAGCTGATCTTTTGAGACGTCCACCACAATCTCCACAGACAGGAAGAACTGAATGAGGGTAGCTAAAGTTAAACATGATTAAGTATGAGGCAGAAGACTCACGTCAGGCTGTGGCAATTCACTCCGCACGACATCGAAAAGCTCGTACGCAAGCTCGTCTTTGTGCGTGACTGAGAAAAGAATGTCGAATAAACCAGCACCAGGTCTAACCCATTTCTGCACCTGCCCAAGAGAAACATTTTCGAATGGAATCGCGGCAATAATGTCATCATGGACTTTACGAAGACAATCAAGGTTGTTGAGGTTGACGCGCACAGGGACAAGAGATAGCAGAGGGATGAGAGCGTCGCTCACACCCTCAACAGGTGCTAACCTCCCTGATCTGATGGTCTGAGCTGCATGGTCAATAATGTCAAACTCAAGCATTGTAAGGCTCACCCCAAAAGATTAAGTCGTCGGATTGGCACAAATGAGTTGCAAGAACCGAAGCAAACGTGCAAGTCAACGCGGCCTGCAATGTCACTTGGCAATGGGCAAGCATTTGTTGGAAGTATGAAAACGGGGTATCAAGGGTGATAGAAATCCGTTTAGGAGAAGCTGATTGGGACACATCCATCAAATCGCGGTAAGACCAGTTAAAATTACGAAGAGTCGACGTCCAATGATCTCGAGCATGAGTCAAGTCCCGAAACGTTACGTGTTCCAATATTTGATCGGGAGGGGCTTGATTCTGAAGCGGCTTGTCGAGATATGCGTCCTCGACATATTTCAGTATGCGAGACAAAGAGATAGCGTCGAACAACGCGTGATGAATGGATAGTACAATGTAAGTGCCGTAGGATTGGCGGTAGAGCCGAAGACGAACGGGCGGTACAGAAGTGATGAGGGTGTTGATATCCACAGCAACTTTCGTAGCTTCTTCATCAAAGAAATGGTTGGAAAAGGTTTCATTGTCGCTCGCCGCAACGGAAGACTCCTCCCAATGAAGGTGACAGGTTGCACGCGACAAAAGCACCTGGACCAAGGTTTTGCCAAAGAAAAATACAGTTCTATCATGATACCATGAGAGAGATTCGGAGACGTGGTAATGTTCAAACCTTAGAACGTCGATATCTGCCACAGCTTTCTTCCAGGCGCTATGCAATTGCGGTATAGAGACGTCATCTCGAACTCGCATTACGATATGCTGCACACACATCGTTGGCGAGCTCTCAGAGCGATAAAGAACACCCTCTTGAATAGGGTAAGAGGGAAGAACACGCTCTATATGAAGATGCGGCATTTTCTTCCGAATTTCTGGCATCCATAGTGACGAGAAGTTGTCGATATTCGGTACATCTGCTTCTGGCCGCGAAACGACGAGACCTCCCAATCGAGTGGACAGACCTCGGACAGTGGGAGACTTCATGATTTCTGCAACAGTTATATTGATATTAAAGGTCCCCTTGAGTGTGGATGCAAGCCGCGCGAGTGACAAGGAGTCCATTCCAAGCGCGAATAAACTAGTGTGCACACCAATAGGTCCGCCGGAACCAGTAATCGCAAAGCTTTCTCTCAAGAGCTCTAGTATCAGCTGTTCGACATCCGAAGTGGGGCCATCGCTGTCTGCGTCGTCAACATGTCCAGTAGGGTCTTCAGCTAGTCCGATCAGTTTGTTAAAATCTAGTCCTGAAAAGATGGAGGTCAAGACTTTGGTATCCGCTTTGCCGTTAGCACTAAGCGGAAGCCAACTGAGGGCTATTATATGGGCAGGGCGCATATAACTGGCGAGTTCCTTTTCGCAGGCGTCACGCAAAACACGCGAGAGGTCCCTCCCCAACTTCACTAGCCCTGGCCTAGAACTGCCCCGTCTCGTAGCAATGGATACTCCTGTGTCCCAGGAAATGAAAGAAACGAGCTGCGGTGAGCTGCCGCCTCCAATCTCCGGATGGGTCCCAAGAATAGTCCCGACATCAAGGTTGAGCTGCAGGCAGGACTGAGCAGCTCGCTGAAGTACAGCGGATATCCCTTCCGCCTCAATGCGCACTCCGCGTAGCTTGATCTGAGTGTCGATTCTGCCGATTATTTCCAATGATCCGTTGGGCATCATTCGCGCCAGGTCCCCTGTACGATACGCCCAGGAACCTTTATGCGGCCATTCGATAAATACTTTAGCCGTTAGATCCGGACGTCCGTGGTAGCCGCGCCCGACAAGGGGGCCACCAACGACGAGCTCTCCGACGGCTCCCCGCGGCAAAATATCGAGGTTCTGATCAACGACATAAGACGCAACATTAGCAAATGCTTGTCCAACATTGCCTTTGGGTGTGTTGCCGTCCATAAAACGAGCACAACATCCTATGGTCACCTCGCTGGGCCTGGGGGAGGTGGTAAGAAAGAGATCAGCAGTAAGAAATTGATTAGTTACCCATAGAAGTTTGCAAGTCTGACTTTGGGATGATCTGCCCACTTGTCTAGGATCTATCATTCGCCTTTCAGGACCCGTAGAGCATTAACATGTAAGACCCTCACTGAGTCACTGATTTTCTCTCCACCACTGGCGATGAATCGCAGTTTCATTCCACTAGCCATTGCTTCGTCTTCTTGAACAGTGCCCATGGTCGCGTCAATCAGGCTGGGCACGATTCCAACGTGCGTCACGCCCAAAAGACTGATATAATAAGGAAGGTTCTCCAGCAGTATTCCGCGTGGCGCGGAAACTATCGTCATGCCCAGAGAGAGGGACACAAAGATCTCCGCGAGATGCACGTCGAATGCAACCGCTATAGTTCAGAGCGCAAGTTAGGAGAATAAATGAGGGGGAAAGACTGTTCCTACAGGCAACGCTGAGATATCTTCCATCTCGGATATTATCCATTTGAACAGCAGCGGAGAAGGAGCTTAGCGCTAGTATCGCTTCAGCGAGACCTTCATGGGTGAGAAGACAGCCTTTTGGATTGCCAGTGGTGCCTAAATTTGTTGTCAGATTCACTGGATACAAGTGAATTATCTGATGTTGTTTACCAGACGTGTAGAGCATATACGCCAGATTGTTTGGAAGTACGACATCTAGATCGGCTGTAGTCATTGCCTGTATGTCTCGCGAGATATGATCATCGTCAAGGTCGAGGACAATATCCCCATATGTCTCAGGAGAGTGCCGATGAGACTCCAAAACGACAAATCTAGCGCCCGAGTCCTTTGCGATGTATGACTTTCTTTCGTTCGGAAGCTCGGGATCGATCTTTTTTTTGCATTAAATCAGTGCATATAAGAATGATGATTTCTGGTAACCAACCGGAACATAACAACCACCGGCGCGCAAAACTCCGAACAGGACTATGTGAAACAGCGGGTTGCGATCCATGCACACAGCAACCCTGTCCTCAGGCTTCAACTGCTGAGATATCAGGTATCGAGCCAGTTTGTTGGCTTGGATGTGGAGATCGCCATAAGACAATGTTTCGGTGACGAGATTATCTCTAGGTCCCGCTGTCAAAGTAGGGTACCAACACACTGCTGGGGCGTTTGGATCGGCTTGGACGTAGGGGAGGATAAAGTCTGTGGCAATGGCAACAGGACGGATGTGGTCATAAACGGACGCACGAGCCTCTGAGGAAAGACATTGGACGGCAGATGCAAAATCAGTTGGGTAGGAAGGAGGCGATGAGATGTTTGAAATTGGATTTTGAGCTGCGCGCAGCGACAGAAAGGCTATCTGGGAAAGTAACTGATCGGCTACGGCAGGGTGTACAAGGCGCGATGATGTCCAAATAGAGAGCAAAGCTGCGGAAGGATCGAACAAAAGCAAAGGAGATCCAAGAAGGTCATCGGGGATGTTTACGTTCTCTGGTGCATCAAGGACGAAGAGGGCAGTAAAGGGTGACTGATCCTCTTTCAAGCCGAGCTCACTGGTCAACTCGGACTCGGTAAAATTTGGGCCCGCGATTCTGTCGAGTGAACGACGAGCCTGATCCACTAGATCGCACCAAACCGTTTCGGGAGTCCAACTGAAACGACAGGGGAGAATTGTGCCTGCTGATAGAATGCCGACCAAGATGTCGGAGGATGCACAGTACAAGCCCAATATGTTACAAAACGAGGCAAGTAGCAGGGCAGCGGATCCTGGTAGATCTATACCACAATCTTGGAAAGGGATCAAGTCAAGAGACGCCGACTTGACGTAAGTGGCAGAGTGATCATGAACGCGACTACGGCTGTCAGAAAGGTCGGGAAACGCGACATGATGGTAACCTGTGAGGAAACATGTGCACATCCGGGTCCATCTTTTATTGAATTCGTAGAATGAATCTGGGATAATACACCAGTAAGTGAATGCTGTTTGAACTTGGGAGTCAACTGACCTCAGTGTGAGTAAAGAGGGAAGTCACTTGTGACGTCGAGTAATATTTAGCGATGAGTTCGAAGTAGCTAGCCGACAGAAGTAGAAGAACGAGTTTAGAATTGAATAGACGGTGGTATTCGGGGGCCGTGAAAACGCTACCCTAGGTATGACAGTAGCTCGTATTTAACATATCGTAAACGTAGTGATAACGAGGAATTTGGAAATGTAGGATTGGCTGACAAATAAAGAGTACTTGTAGACTGACATTGGGGCGATAGAACACGATAGTGAAAGGCACTAGAATCTGTCAAAGATAGGCTCGCCAGGTCCCACGAAACGGGGAACGACTGTCTTCTATCGAAGGGGCGGTTAAACTATAAAGCTTGTGGTGCGAGTTTCAAATGACTCGCCCTGCGCATACCTTGGATGTGGCGTGGTCTAAGATGGCGATGAATGGTGGAAGATAGACTCGTGACCAGCCCGTCTATGAGGCAAGCCGTCGATAGACGGTGGAAGAGGCTTTGCATAGAAATACAAACAAATACATCACGTCACGACGTTGGAATTACCCTACCTCTGATTGGACCGTCAAGATAACTAGTCGGAGTGGCGTCGCTCTACTGTCACTCATCTTAACACTATCCAAGTACCGAGTCTACTTATCCGCTATCCACACCAATCATAAAAGACACTTCTCCTGATCCGGCGGCCTCTTTTAATCCTTCAAGCTCAAGTTCATCTGCCCCATTGAGAGCTGAGGTGCCCACACGAAGGATGCTGACAGTAATGCCAACCTCCATGTCGACGCCGACCCGATGGCGTGTGGACTTCCTAGCTTTTGCGGCTTTCATGGCGCTGTGGTGTCGAAGACTTGCCCGAGTGTCTCGAATGTGTCGACTGAGAGATTAGACCGTGCCGAGATCAGATCTACTTCGCCTACATGCCCTACAATTGAGAGGATCGTCACAGCAAAGACCTTGAGTGGGTGAATTTCGGAATTGATTGGATGACATGAAGGCGGCGCCAAAGGGCCTCGTCTGTTTGGCCGCCAGCACCAGGGGGTCAATATGTCGGTTTTTGGACTCTATTGAGTTGGGTCAAATCCATCATATTATAATTAGTAAATTATATCTCCGCAAATCTCAGGTGTTCTGCCACCTCCTGAGTTCTGTCTTGGGCCAGGCACAACCAGTTTTGCCAGACCAAAACTCCCAAGCTCTAGAGTGCTAACAACCCTAAATTAAATCAGATTAGCCCGATTGCAAAATTCCGCCGGGTTTCTATGTACCTTCCGGTTTCCTCTCGCACCCTCTCCCTCTTGCACTTTCAACTCCTACCCCCACCCACCAACACTCAAGTGCTCACACGCTGCTTGGTTTCGCCGCACTTCTTTTCCACATTCTCCGCCGTCCATTCGACATGATCAGCAACGAGAAGAAGCAACGCGCTTGTAACGCGGACCTCATGCCAGTGAGCCTCGAGAAGTACCCCCCCTTGCATTAATGGTGATGAGGTGGTGAGTCAGTTACACATGCTCACCTCCGCACTAACTCACTTTATCTAACAGCTCATCCTCTATCATGATCACCTGCCACCAGACTCACGACCGGCTACACCCCTCGCTTGCCTTCTCTAGCCCTTCTACGTAGCTGCCACGATAAATATGCGTCATCCGCCACGCACACACACCATTGCTTCCAACATTCCGCGACCGCCCATGTTATCTCTCTTTTAGGTTTGTATTGCACAGTCAGAGAAAGTAGTTTGAAATACAACACTTTATCTTTTCATATGCCAGCTGCGTGTTTCCTGACATCACAAAATAATATTAGTCCGTTCGGAAGTTCAGCGCTCAGATCTCAGATCCCGACTTCAGCTCAAAGATTTATAAACTACTACCTGAGTTGATTCAATAACTTGGAATAGCGTGTACTTGTACGACTAGACTTAGTCAGCTGCTGCAAAAACATATCGCTCGTCCTAAAAAAATAAACTATTTCGTTAATCTTTATCTCCTTCGGCAAAGCCCTCAGCGCTCAGCTCAACATGTTGAAAGCACGGGTTTTCTCTGCTAAACAGGGTGCTCGCTCGTAGCTATGCGACAGCTGCTTCACCTCATGCCCTGGTCTTTTTGGAGCACCGTCAGGGTGACCTTGACTCTGCGTCACTTTCTGCCTTGACGGCAGCATCTCAGTTGGGCGGTCAAGTTACCGGCCTTGTCGTGGGCAGTCCCGAGGAGGTGCCATCTGTTGTAGAGAAGGCTAAGAAGTATGCTTTTGAACTTCCTCAGATCCATTACTGATCCCTTCTAGATTAAACGGTTTGACCACACTGCTGCATTGTGCATCCCCACAGTACACCACGATATTACCTGAGACAGTATCTCCACTCTTGGAGAAGCTCTTATCACAGAACTCGCCCTTCACGCACGTCGTTTCCGCTCACTCCAGCTCTGCCAAGTCGATTCTGCCTCGAGTTGCAGCAAAACTAGATGTTCCGGCCGTATCTGATATCACATCCCTCGAACATGACGCAGCATCGGGAAGCACTACCTTCACCCGTCTCATCTACGCTGGTAACGCCATCTCCACAGTCCGTGCATCCTCCTCCATCCCCATCAAGTTCTTCACTGTCCGGTCTACTGCATTTGCAGCTGCTGGAGCAGGAGATGCAGCAGAGAGCGAAGTCAAAGCCCTCGATTCTGTTGAGGTGTCCGATCCACCCACGGAACATATTAGCACTTCTCTGACGAAATCCGATCGGCCTGACTTGGGTGTTGCAGGTCGCGTTGTTTCTGGGGGACGCGCATTGAAGAATGCCGAGACTTTCCAGTCTACTCTGTATCCTCTTGCTGATGCACTTGGTGCTGCGGTTGGAGCATCGCGTGCTGCTGTGGATGCAGGGTACGCAGACAACTCCCTGCAAGTTGGACAGACAGGAAAGGTGGTGGCTCCTGAACTGTACATGGCGTTGGGCATTTCTGGTGCTATCCAAGCATCTTGCCGGTATGAAGGATTCCAAACTCATTGTGGCAGTAAATAAGGTAAGTGCGTCCGCACAACACTGACCGACTCCCCTATAATTCGTCTTTAGGATCCCGACGCACCAATCTTCCAAGTGGCGGACGTAGGGTTAGTAGCAGATCTTTTTGAGGTAGTGCCAGAGCTGGTCGAGAAGTTGAAGCAATGATAGAATGGGCAGCATCATGTTCAGCGCTCATTGGGTGCTTAATATACTAGTCAAGATTGGCTTTGAAGATATTGCAAGTTCTATAGCTAAGACATAAGTCCGTCAGCGATGCACGATGCTCCATGATCAGCTGCTAAGTCACGGTAGTAGCTTGACACCGTAGTGACTCTGAATATTTGGATAGTGTTTTTTTCCCACGACTAACCTTTTCTTTTGCATATTTCGCCCACAGGCGTAGCAGGCAGACATGCGTATCGAGAAATGTTATTTTTGCTCAACGAACGTGTATCCTGGGCACGGTGAGCAACAGAAACTCGAGACTGTCAATACAACATCTCACAGCATATTCAGGAAGTGCCTTCGTCCGCAATGATTCGAAGGTATTCCGGTTTTGCACCTCAAAGTGAGTCCTATGATAGAAAACCAGAGCCCACACATTGAACCAAACTTTCAGATGTCACAAAAACTTCAAGCAAGCTACTTTTTAACCCTATCTTCCGATCCATGTCTAACGTCCTCCTAGAATGAAGCGAAATCCTCGCAAAGTAAGATGGACAAAGGCTTTCCGTAAAGCAGCAGGGAAGGAAATGACGATCGTATGTCTATCCTCAATCTCAAGAAATTTCTACTCACTTCTCGCAATCAAGGACTCTACGATTGACTTCGAGAAGCGTAGAAACGTGCCTGTCCGCTACGATCGCGAATTGATACATACGACGATCAACGCCATGAAGCGTATTGGACAGATTAAGCAGCGGAGAGAGAATGCATTCTGGAAACAAAGGTTCTTATTTTCCGTGCTAAAGTGCTTGTCCCCCGCACTGACTTATATTATTGCAGAATGTCCGTTGCTCGGGAGAAACAACGCGCGCACAGGACAAAGAAGTTGGCTGCGAAGTCTGTGTCCGTTAAGCTGCTTGAGCCAACTGCAATGGAGGAAACTATTGAAGTGCTGGAGAAAATAAAAGTGCCAGCGAAAAGCAGAAGTGCACTTATGAAAGGGGAAGGGCGATCGATGGGCATGGATGTTGACTGATCTGTATTTGTCTTGTCGTGCATCACACATTGTATACCTTCACTAATTCATACATACGATCCCCTTCGGGCGAAAGCACGCAAGAGAGATGGGTGGGATCACGCAAAAACATCGAGGTTAAGCAACAGTGGTACTGTGTAAACTCACGCGCTCGGACGACTCTTGCAGGAGATCATAGCTCATTCGGGCGATATCTCTGCCCTTGACTGGGTCGGAAAATCATCCGAGTTCAACAGCTGTCTCCCAGCTGACATCATCTCGTACAAATGTCCGCCATGCATGCTGCCATCTCTACCGGAAGACGAAATGCAGATGTCGGTCTCCACACTACAAAATATTGTAGCTGCGGAGTCAGCTTTGAAACTGTATACCATCCTCGAAAACCTCGGCGCTCCTCATTTCGCTATTTCCAGATTACAACTTCTGTGCCCGTGATAGAAGTCAGAGGCGTGGTCAAGACCAGGAGTCACATTTCACCGATGATGTCAAGGCAGACGGTCTTCAGGACCTGGTAATCACTACCCAAGGCAAACTGATTCAATTCTCGCGGGCAAGGCTCACTCGGCAGACATTTCCGCTCATTCGTCCATGGAATCGTCAGGACATTGGGCTCCCTGACTTTGCAGACGAGACGCAGAGTGTGGACGAGCCTGTGCTCGAGTCTCCGCTGGCCGATTCGTTCGGCGACTCTCCTGGAGAGAATGAGCGTGTTGATATGCACTCTCAGTCACGAGAGCTAAGGCTGATCGTTCGCCTTGGGCAACCTTTTGGTGCAATTTTCCTAGCGCAGCAGCGTGGCGGGGAATACGGAATAAAAATTACCCTATTCTATGCACCTAGGCACACGCATCGAAAACAAAGCAGGAACAAGTAGTATTCGTATAGATTATTCGCTCTATTTCAAAAATGGTATACAGAAGTATCAGCACTTCCGCCACTCAGAGTGTGCTCCTACTAGTAGTCTGCTTCATTCGGTTGCGGAGAACCAGAATTATAGATCTGAATCTATAATCTGACCTTGATGTCTCGGCCACACTTTTTTCCGCTGCGATTTTCGTCGGATTTACAAATTCCCACTCATTCTCGCTGGGGGGCATTTTAGTTCAGAGTCTGGTGTAGGCGAACATATTGTTTAATTGTGACTGTGTAGAATCGAGCCAGAAGATTCCGCTGGCTCGAATCTACACCGTTTCAACTTTCCGGAATGTCACCGGTGAAGAGAAGGAAAGACAAAGAAAGAAAGCGCTGCCGCCGCTCAGCTGGATGGAGGATGTCGAACAAGGGTCGTTGCCAGAAGTCCCAGGACGCGCTTAAATAATATGTTCGGAGACAAAACAAGTTCACATAAGGATATCGCCGACGGAGATCATCATGCGGATAGTACATCCGGGGCCCCTATTTTTAAAACCTTGTTTTCTTCTTGCATTGTTCTTCATATTTCACATAGGCACGTCGTTCGTACGGATTTCTGATCGAATGTGGTCTTTTCTTTTGTTCAAGTTTCCCTTATCGCATATCTGCACCTTAATTTCTGACTCACCACTCTGCGCAGTATATAAAACGGCATGTATCTTCTCAAATAAGTAGTCCTAAATCACTCACTCTGTTTTGATCCCGGGCCAAGAATTCATATTCAGATCTCAGAACGAGTCGACACAATTCCTAATGACTCCATTGCAAAATGGTCTACATTAAAAATCTAACTCTTTCATCTCAACCCCTTCGACTCGGAACTCGTTGAGTTCTCGCTACGCGTAGCAGACTTCTGAATTTGTGTCTCACCCTCAGCCACAGTATATAAGATCCAACCTCTGGATCTTATATACTATGGGTGAGTGTCGAAGCGTTTTTCTTTCCTTCATAGCAGCGTACCGGTACGCACATTACCTTTCCCCCCTTTCCCAGTAGTCGTTATAAAATTGCACGGTCAACGATAGAGTTCGTAGTGAACAACAGTATGCACTCGAATCGAGAACTCAGACTGACTTACTGCTGAAAGACATATCCACTTCTTTCGAATCTTTGCCACTCACGTCAAATGGGCTGGCGGCTGTTGGGCGTCGTTCTGCATCTGACAGGCAATCCGTCTCCACTTCTGGCGAGTTTATCTCTCTTCAGGAGTGGAGTCGGTTACTCATTCTATTCTTGGGAGTCTCTACCTCGAGGACACTTGTGCAATTCCCTCGGTGCTGTGTCCAGAGGCAAATGTCCATAGTATTTCGAGTGACTGTCAAGCTGATCACCTTATCGCAGCATGAAGGATATGCCCCAGCAAACGACCGAGTACTCGTCTTGTCTTCTTACTTACTTGCATCGTATAGACTCTTAGAGACGGCGCGTCTAAAACAGCCGCCGGGAATGGCGGACTGGTGGGGGGTAGGCCTCACACCAGTGCCTAGAGATGCGTTGGGCACACCGGGGGTCCATATCATCCTCCGTAGAGTATAACTTTCCATATGACGTGTCAATTGATTATTTTTTTGAGAAAAAAAAAGGCATACCTCGCTGGTCTGCCGTTCCCGTCAGCTCTTTTAGACGCGCAGGCTAGTGTTCCCTGTAAGGCTCTTGTCAATCTTCTAGATGTTGATGATTCCAGGCAATTCGGAGAGTGTTTCCAGTATCCAACATTTCGTACAGCACTAAGACCAGCAAAGAACAGCCACATAACATTACATGGTGAACACAACCGGCAGTCATTCGAGCTTACATTTTGCAGAAATAACACTTCGTTGACAGAGGAACAGAGCGTGAAAGCATGATTAACTAGCTGCGCATACAGACTGATGCGTACATCATGAGATACAAGTTCTAATACAACTGATGATATATTACAGTGCGTGAGCAGAACATTAGCGATGTTTGTACTTGGCCGCATTCTCATGGCGAACGTTGGGATCCAGGGTATTGTGAAGTCCCATCAAAGTTTTGCTGACTGCTTCCGAAGCGCCAATCATGGGCTTCAAGACTGCGATTGGGACAGCTCGCACCACAGCCCGGACCGCACCCTTGCTCGATGTCAGCTTGGCATCAAGCAAATATTATAGATATCACTCACTTCGTTTCCGGACTTCTCGTACACTTCCATAGGAACAGCAAGTATTGTTTGGGCAGCAGAATGCAAGTTTCTTTGCAAGCTGCGATATGCTGATTGAACTCCTTCTGTGACATCAGCGGGCTGGGCCGCATATCTGCTGATCAATTCTTCATCCGGTCCTTCCCCAGAATCGTCATACGGTATGTGGAACGTTTCGGCCGTAATGGAATCCTTGAACTGGCCTCCGAGCACGCTTTCAGTTTGCTCCAGGATCACTTGAGTGCCGGTTGCCAGCCGAGCTCCAAGCTTGATCGCCTCCATTGCAGTTGACTGTACGAATGCCTTGGTACCTTTCTGAACACCACGGACGATGCGTCCGTCCTTCTTGTACTGCGCAATGGGTAGTAAAACGAGGTCTGCTACTCCAGAGCCAACGTTGACCATAGAACGGATGGGTGCTACACCAGAGATGACATCCACAAGTTGGGTTGCCTTGACATCTGGCGTCCAGAGGTCATTCAATGTATCAAAAAACCGAGGCCAACCCGTGATCTGTGAAGGTCAGTGAACTCGTGAAAAGCGTGCCAAAGCAGTACGTACCCCATGCAAAGTCAGATGTCTCAGAGTCATCTCCGCGCCATCAAAATGGAAAAAGTTCATGAGCTCGATCGTTTTTCCCTCTCGCAGAGCCCTGTAATCCACGCGTCGAGGTTTGTAATCAAGCTTGAGATCAATCGGGAAGACCTCGGCGTGCTCTGCGGACAAATATCAATACAGTTATCCATTCAGGGTTCGAAACAGGAACGCACGAATATAGGTCTCCTCGCTGGGAGTATCAGCAGGTGCAGACGGACTATCGGGATCTTTGAAGGCGAAAAATTTCTTCAAAAAGTCGAGTGCATCCTGATCCACATATAATCGCAACGGGAGGAGTTTGGCCTGTGGTGATATCGTCTCAGCCCTGTCAGTATGCCCTAATTCGACAGGTACTCACACGTAGACGTGTTTCCTCGGAGGGATGGGAAGGAGACGGTTGGACAGTCTTGAGCTCGACGCGAACCATACTGGAGTCCGTCTCACGAATATTGCCTCGAGAGTCTGACCGTAGTTCGGTCAGGAATTTTCTCCAGGT